TAAAAATCAAATATACAAAAACAAAGACGGTTAAATCAATAAATTACTAAGATAAAAACAGGAGGCATCATAAAACACCAAAACAATATATATTCTCATGCTGGGTCAATAGCCATCGAATAAAAATGTGTTTTAAGACGGGTTTTAAAAATGGACAGAGAGGGTGTTGACCTGCCCCGAGGCTCTCTCTTTTCTCTGTCTGACTGCTCTTATAACTCATGTCCCATTCCGTTTTCTATTAAATAAATGTCTGTCGCAATATCAATAACCACGGAGGGAGTATATCAAATATGCCCGTCGCACAGAAAAACTGCCATGGCATAACAAGCGACATGAATTCTTCGTCAGTCATGACCAGGACAAGTTGAAGAGAAAAAGAAAAAAAAAATCATACATTTTCAGAAATATGCAGCTATATGATTGACTTGCTTGTTTAATTTTATCCTTAATTGTTGTGGAGGCACTCCAAATACCCAACTAGTTGTGTACAATACAGTAAAAAGATAATCTCTCCTATAGCCAATAGTGCCTGGCCCCCATCGTCCTTGTGCCAGTAAACACCACAGAAACCAAGTGCAGTATGAAAAGGACTAAACTAATTGGCTTTGACTTTCCAATTACGTGCGCGAGTTTGAATTGAAAAAGAACACTTCAAAAATCATACAGTTCAGCCCCACCCCTAAGACGCTGATTGGTCTGGTCATTTTTTTATTATTTTTTTTTTTTGGACTACCACTACGATGGTATCATTTCAAAGCTTAACGAGATGGACTGGTTAGATTACATATCTGTATTCTCGTGAGTCCGTTTGACATAATGCAAGATAATGCAGCCACCGTTCCCACATCAAATGTAATGGGCGTTTTTATTTTTTTCTTGACAGGATCTGCTGGAATAAATCAATGGCTACAATGCAGCCCGATGACTGCTGGAAGTGACCATTCCATGACTGCTCGAGCACTCTTAAAACACACTGACAGTTTAACCAAATTCCCTTCTACAAGTGTAAAACCTCAAGTCTTTGCAAGGCAGTTTCATATTCCTGTCTGTAAATTCCAAAGAGCTTGACAAAATAACCCAGTTCTTTAAAAAAAAAAAATATATATATATATATATATATATATATTCTTTGTGTTTGGGGTTGACGATAACAACACTGACAGCCCATGTTACAAATTCTTCCTGACAGAGGTGCCTTAAAACACGCACACGCATAAAAAGAAAAAAAATAAAAATGTGGGGGGCGGCGGGGCGGCTTCTATCTAATGCAATAACCCCTCACTGGTCAATTCTGAATTCTTAGTGGCACTTAAATGCGCACGAAATGCAATAAACCTCAAGCGACAAATACAATAAAAATAATTAAAAAAAAAATAGGAGAAGGAACATTATTTCACTTGCAACGCAGTCAAGTTCACTAATTGACGCGTGTGCATTTTCATTTCTTGCAGTGGCCTGAAAATGGTCTCTTTGTCAGTGAATATATAACATTATCCTGTTATGAAATAAGTGGCGTCACGTGGCGATGTGACATTTTGGATGTCTCAAGCGCCGTAATTGACTTCTAAAAATAGTCCGCCTCTGTCTGCGAGCGGCCGGCCCGCCGGCTTCCCTGTTCAAGCCTTATTTTCCTTTTTTTTTTTTTTTCCTTTTTGTGCGAACATGAGACAACTTGAAGAAAACTTGCTGCTCTTTGCTGCACGTCATACGAAGACAAAGAAAAACTATGACTATGATTGTGTGACTGCAAAATGTTCCCAAGCAGAAGCTAGAATCTGCTCATTATTTAGCATGTGTTGCAAAATTTAAACCGTATTCTGTGCCTAGTTACTGGTGACGCTTGAACTTCTATGTAGAGTATCCACCTATATCACTTGTCCTCATGAGAGAACAGCAGACATTCTCTCAATAATACCTTTTAAATCATACAAGAAATAATAATTGTAATGTGCCTGATATTGTATCGAGGCCAGATAACCATTCACACTCATAATTCACATTTAGGAACACAATTAGTCTTCAATGACCTAACACGCATGTTTTGGGAACGTGTGTGGGAAAGCTGGAGAAAACGGTGAGAGAATTCAAAAGAGTGAGGGTCTGAGGGTCAGACCCAGAACGCAGTTGTGAGGCGGCCTTGCAAACCATTTCTTTACTGCTGATTTGAACTTTGTTTGATTTTGTAGTTTTAGTCTGCCTTTTCGGAACAAAATGCACATTTACTACACCCCCCCCCAAAAAAAAAACATAGTATTCACGTACCTTATTATCAATATTAGGAGGAACCTGCTTCTTAGCCACTTGATGTTAAAAATGCCAAGATTCATTTGAATGTGTGACTGGCAGTGCAAAGACGCCCTATGCTGGCCGTGTGAAGCATTACATCACCTGACCTTGTTCATAAGGAACACAGTAAACCTCTGCACTCACAGTTTAAGGCAGTTCTGCATTATGCCACCTTGCGCTTTCTTGTTTTAATGGCCCTTTTCTCATGCGGTAACTCGTGTTTGTGTCCGTGTGCTTTACAAGTTTGTATGTGACCAATAAAAATGTAGTGTAAGGGTGGGTCACATTAAATATTTTGGGAGTTTTTATCTGTGTGTGTGTGTGTGTGTGTGCGTGTGTGTGTGTGTGTGTGTGTGTGTGTGTGTGTGTGTGTGTGTTTCCCCCTTTTGTCTTTAAATAGTGACTGTAAAATACTGGCAAATTTGGATGGGGATAAAAGCAGTCCTTGTCATTCTAGTACAGTAGCTGGAGCCTTTTCTAGTTGCACAGATAGATAAATCACACATTGAAAACTCTGAGCAATTTAGCCTTTTTTTTTTTAATGAAATTATAATTCAATCAACCTAACATATAAGCAAGCCAGAGTGCATGTCAGTTCCACACAGAAAGCCAAGTTTCGAACCCCAAACTATAAGGCAGGTGGGTTAACCATTATCCCACCATGCTGCCCTGCTATCAACTCAGTAGTAGTAACTTAGATTTACACTATATGAGCCTTTTGAAGTGACTCAGTGACCTTTGAAAATATTTAATGAGGTAATTAAAAGCAGTACTGTAACATTTGTAAGGGGTAGTGGTGCATTATTTCGTCAACACGTCTACTTCATTGTTCCGTGGTTCTGGGTTTGAATCTCTCAATCCCACGGTATGGAGTTTAAATTGTTAATCATATCCACATTTTAAAAATATACATGTTCCATTCATTGAAGACTAAAATTGTCCATAGCTTGTGAAGGATTGTTTTTCTATATACCGTTATTTATTATTTGAACCTTTTGATGATATTTTGGACCGTAAATCAATTCCTTACAATTGCTCATGCGGTTGCTCACAAAGTGGTGAACCTCATCACCGAGCCTTTTAGGAATGCTGCTTTTAGACCCAAATCATGACACTCGCGTCTTTAAAATGAACTTGTGGAATCTTTCCAAACAAAAAAAACCCAAAAAACAGTAAGGTTCTTCAATTTGACCATTGAAGAGCTTGTCTTTGTGTGAATTCACTTGACACGAGGTTGAGAAGGATTTTCAAATTATTGGATTTAGTCTTTATTTACATGTTATGCAATGTCCCAACTTCAATTGGAATTGAGGTTTGTATTACTGTCAGAGAGTCTGTTTGGTGAGCACACGGATGTTTCATATTTTCAGTCCGTAACGCATGACAAAATATGTAACGATTGAGATACAACATTGTATCCATGATATTTCTTACCCCAGTCTTCTCTAACCATCACATTGATATCTCCCTTAAAGATAATCCCATTCTTTTTCTTCTTTTTTTTCTTTTTTTTTGAGAATAGTAACTGACTAACACCGAGGAAGATCAGTATCACAAGTCTGAAAATTGTGGAGGATTGTTATATGTCAAGGAAGCAACCCTTTGAAACTCAATGTGACAATTTTCTGTCAAGGCATCAGCCATATTCATTTTCTACAAGGTTGTATGAGGGCCACACTGAAAGAGAAACAACCTTTGTTATATTCCGAACTAGAAAAATTTTTTTTTTTTCTTGTGAAACGACATGCCGCGCAAGGTATGACAAGAAGGACACCTTTCACATTCAGTTTCTTTACCAGGCTGTTGTGGAGCACGCCGATGTATGGTCTGTCTTGCAAAATAAAAAATAAATCATAAAGTGTCCCTTAACTCTTGTGAGATTGCATCGTTTCCATTTTAGCTTTGGTCACCTCTATTCTCGTAAAAAAAACAATGGATGCAATATACTACAAGTTTATTCTAGTCAAACAACATTTTGTAAGATTTCAATGATCGTGTAAATTTCATTCATTTTTTCCAACTTCAATTTACCGGTACTTTATTTTTGGAGCTTATTTTTTAGCTTTTTTTTTTTTTAATAATTTGGGTTTCGTAGAGGTAAGCAAAGGGAGCCACTCTGTGCCCAAACGTTTGCAAAGGAAGGAGAAAGTTCCCAGTCTTGCCCAACTGGATGCCGTATTTGATCCGCCTCTGTATCAGATGTCCATGAGCAACAGCAATAGACTTTACTGAATCAGAATTCTGTGTGTCATTACAAGACAATTCCCTTCAATATTCTTCCTCTCCAACAGTCCTTGGATACATCAGATTCTTGGATGACAAATATCCAGTTGTTAAAGTCGGGCTCCACGGAAATATTCTTCCTGGAAGATTGGCGTAACATGAACAAAATGACCATGAAAAACCATTTCAACATTTTTCTCACTGTTAATGTGACCTGTAACTGCAGCTCAGTCGGGGAAAAAAAAATAATAATGGTCCAATCCGACAATCTTTTCAAGAAGGTAAAAAGTGAACGTGAACAACTGAGACCATAAGGTTGCATAAATGTACACACCCTTTTACAACCGTGGATGTGAATGTGTTCACAATGGACCAACAACATTCAAACTCATGTTAAATAGAAGTAAATGCACCCCTGGTAGCAAACAACATGCCTCTGATTAACCCCAAATAAATTCAGATGTTTTAGTAGACTTTTCCTGACATTTTGTATCACTTTTTATAGCGCACAATGGGCCATAGAAAGCTTCCACAGCATCCAGAGAGATTTCATTTTCCCAAATACGTTCAAACATACTCGCAGGTATGTTCAAACTTATTTGCCAATCACAATTTTTGAGACCTCATTGGCAATTCCATGCCTCCGTACCAACAGAACCCAAGGACAGGAACGTACGTATTAAAAATTGTTTTCTCTCATCGTTTTGTTTTATGACGGGGGATAGTGACGTGTCCAAACAAGACTCGGGCTATTGTTTGCTTTAAGCTCTATCGGTGAACTGTGAATGGATGCTGTCCCATATTTGACATTGTGTGTGGGAGAAACTTGATCGTCATGTTCACTGTGGGTGTGTGCCCGTACAATGTCACATCCTGCTTACTTTCCCAACACAAGGATGAGCGCTCTTGCATATCCAAAGGTCCTTCCCATGCATATATGCGTGGCAAGGCAGCCTGAACGGATGACATGACACCAACCAGCTGTGGTGCTGACAGCAAATAATACATCAGGAGCAGAACAGCCTCTTTTTTTTTCGGAGACATGAAGCATCGAGGTGAGGTTTTACTTGCCGATGTAAATTTCACGGCCCGCATGCTGTGTTTACTTAAGTCCTTTTGCTCTTTGTGGTTGACAGTTGCTCCCTATGCTGCTGTAATTGTAGTTCTTGTGGTCACATGGGCCATCTCGCACGACTATATACGCATACAGCTGAGAGCAAGAAAACTTTGGGGTGAGCTTCACGTTTTCAGTCACATTAGAGTCAATATCACTTAAAGGTGCCTTTAGGACTTGCACATTTCACCCAAAAAGGTTCAGCTTTTCCATTGGAGTTCATATGCATTATATGTAGATCAGGAGTGTCCAAATGTTTTCCTCCCAGGGGCCACATACATAAAAAAGGATGCAAGGGACACTTGGACACTCATTCGCAGAGCAGCGTGTGGGGACATGACAAAAATCACATTGAATGAAACTTAAAAAAAAAAAAAAAAATACACACACACCCACACATATATATATATATGTGTGTGTGTGTGTGTGTGTGTGTATGTGTGAAATGTAGGAAACACATTATTTTCATCTTATTTTTTCAATGTCTTCCCACCCGACTGTTATATGTGCAAATATTTGGCCACTTGTCATAGAACCTCAGAGCGTTGTTATTCTGCTCCATTTTCAAGATTATTAAATCATTCTGAGGAGGACACCGAAGGCTCTTTATCGAGATATTGAAGCACATCATATCGTCATCACACCTTATTGACTTTGCTTTTTTGTCTTTCTGTTGTAGGGATGAAAAGCGCGGAGCAATTCAAACCAAAAGTCCAACCAAGTGAGCAGTATGAAGGTAAAACATTTTTAACAGACTTTTTATTTTTTGACTGTTTCTTGTAAAATCGCATTTTCTCCCAATATTACGACTTTTTTAATTGTAAAAAAATAAAAGAATAATTTCATGTAATATTTCAGCCTGTTGTAATTTTTTTGTAAAATTGTGACTTTATCCTTTGTTGGAAAATGGCTTCCATGATAAAATTATGAATTTACAACTGTATTAAATTTTCAGCTTTGTTCAATTTTCTTACTTTTTCTCATAAAACTAAAACTTGCAATGAAATCATGACAGAATCTAGCTTTTCTTGTAATATTCAAACGCTATTCTCACAAAGTTTACTTTTTCCTCATATTTCAATTATTATAAATCTGATTCCGATGAGTCTTTCCTCTTAATATTGTAACTGTTCTCATCAAATTCCGATTTTTGTCAATACTCTTGCAGTCACGTCAGCCGAGTGCAACCTCTCTGGAAGTTGCCCCCCTGATCACTTTGCAATACACGTGCGCAGCGGAGCAGCTAATGTTGTCGGGCCCAAGATCTGCTTCGATGGTAAAACGTAAGCCACCTGTGCGTAAGAACCATTTCAACAAATGTTTGTTTCCCCCCCGTGAAACTTCATGTTCTTCGTGTACTGTATGTCTACAGCATCATGAGTCACGTATTGAACAATGTGGGACCTGGGCTCAACATTGTCGTCGTAAATAGTGAGTAGATCACTTTTAAACTCATAATGTACCACGTCAGCGGTCCGTGGGTCATTTGGTATCCGAAATGTGTTTTATTTTGAAAAATTACCGGATCCTCTGTTACATCCGTCTACAGTATGTCGCTCTTAACGCAGGTCAAGGTGTGCTTCTCGGTCACGTGATAGGTTACCACTAAAATGAAACCTAAACTGAAAAGCGAGCAAAATGAGTCAAACACAAATGTCTTTGAAAAGTTTCTTTGGGAAAGGGAAAAGGCCCAGCCAGGAGACAGAAGAGGGGCCTCCGACGTTCAAGAAGAAAAAGTCTACATTAAATAGAAAGTATCAGGAGTCCTACTTAAAATACGGATTTTATAAAATAAATACGGAGCCGTAGCATAAAAGCAGCCTTGGTTGTTGAAGACGTTTCATCCCAAAAAAGGCTTCTCCAGTTCAAAATTTTACATGTCTGGTCCCTCTATCTACTCTGTTGGAATTTATGATTAAGGGCGGCAAAACATCTTTCACAACGAAATCATCAATCCAAAACTTTTGCGCTTTACCATGACCTGGATATCTGAAAATCGACACCGATTTACAGATTTTTGAAGTCAGGGGTTCAAATTGATATGCACACGCTCCCCGTCAGGGTTACACTGGGCTCCATTTTCAAACAGTCTTCATATTTTTTCATCATGTCAGAGAATGAGCCCTACTGACGTTGAATGTTTATGTGGGTGGATGGTTTTTCATGCTTTGCTAGTTTGATTCCCCATATGTATTCCTCAGTGATTTCTACGTTGTTAACCGACTTCTGTCGACATTTTTTCTTCATCAGCAACTCGGCTTTTCGTGTATAGAAGTAACGACTGACAAACGGGCGATGGAAAATGAGAACATTTTAATTGGGCCAACAGATATCTGCACTCGAGGAAGATGATATGATGATGAATGCAAGCTGCCGAAGATGATAAACATGCATGCATGTTTGTTTGTTTCATCTCAGGTGAGAACGGCGCTGTGGACAGATGTGGCTATCTGAATATGAAAGACGGAGGTAAGGGACGTGTTTTATAAATCTTTTTTATTTTATTTTTTTTCACAGAGATGATTCATTTACATTTTTTAAAATTTAAAACGACTTCCTCGGCTGCCAAAGTCCCAGAGGACATCTTGGCGTACCTGAAAGAGATTAAACCTGGAGAGATTGTCATTGTGGCCTCCTTTGACGACGCGACAACAAAGTAGGTCCAATTCCCAGACGCTCATCCTCTAAAACGATTTACTGCTCCACAAAAATCACCTTTCATTCCCCCCCCTCTTCACTTCTCGGCGGCAGGATGACAAAAGAAATGAGGGAGATTTTTGTCGGAATGGGCAGCGCTTTGATCGAATCCGTAAGTTACCGTGACAACTGGGTGTTTGCAGGAAGAGGCGGGACAGCAAGCAGAAGCTCCTTTGAGAAGGTCAGTCACCCTGCCCTCGTTCGTTCTATTTATGCACGTGGAAAGACGCAGCGCTGACAACTGAACGTCTTCTCGGCTGTTCACCTGTCAGCGAGCTGCTAATGACGACGCAAGCAACGTTTATGACGGATGGCCCATGGCAGTGGAGGTGGGCGGCTGTTTCCCCAGAAGCTCTTAAAGGACATTTTGTCATCAGCAGGATGATAGGAATACATTTGATTCTGAAAGTAAGAGTCTAATGTTCTCATATACAGAATCACTTTTTTTTTTTTTATTTTCAAACCTTTCCTATGTTTCTTGATAATCTGAATCACTATCGCAACAAAATGCATTTAGTGTCCCGAATCAAAATTGCTAAATCATCATGCAAATGGAGCAGAATCATGGAACTCTTGAGGTCTTATGAAAGTGGCCAAACATTTGCACATGTACCAGTACAACGAAAAGCCCTTTAAAATGTGTTCCCTTCATTTTACAACTTTCACACCTGCTATCTACAGTTTGCGTAAAAATAAATAAATAAATAAATAAAAAACAGTATGTACTGTACCCTCACTTTACTCAGTTGTACCCTCAAATCACAAATTTTAACAGATTACACAACAGAGGGTGCAAATTAACAAACTGAGGGATCAGATTCTCAATCAATGTTCTTTTTCTCATACCTTGACACCAGGGGGCTCGGTAGAAAATTGACATGGCCATTTCCCTGATAGACAAAAGGTTCCCCACTTTAAACTCAAAGCAGAGGTGACATTCTCTTGCTTTGAGTTCTACCCAAACATTTAGCGTCACAGCAACACTTGACTCAACAACTGACAAAAAGTAAATGGTTACAGTTTGTCAAGTGCAAGATTGTCAACCCAACCCCCAACACCGTTAAACGTCGTCGTCCCCCTCCCCCGCCCTCCCCATTGTCCTTTTACACACATAGATGAACTATCATCTTGAAACGAAATGTAAATTCCCATTTGAACAATAGGAGAACTTCAGTGAGTGGCAAATTCCCACTTGCAAGCAGTGTGAAAAAAAAGTGTCAGAGTGCAAACGAGCCAACAAGAAAGACGCACTATCTTGTGTAAATTAGCCTGCTACACTTTTAACCAGTAGAATTTGAATATAAAGTGCCTCGCGAACGGATTTATACGCCTTTAATTTGACGTGTTATATGACGAACACAAATCGAAGGGAATCAACTCCCTTGACCCCAATAAAATCCAGCGTAAATCAATTGCCTTCAGACGTCACCCAAGTCCACCTGTGCGTAGTCTTGTGCTTGCTACGAATGTACGTGCACAGCAAATGACTGGCAGCTCGTCAGCCTTTTGTCTCTGGTTGTTTTTCCATTTCCAGCTGGAGGACCCTATATGTCAGCATCCAGACAGAAGCATAAAACCCCAAATGTTTTCTGCCACAATTAAAAAAAATAAAACAGTTAACTGCAAACAGACGTATTTCTTTCTGGATGGTTTCGATTTGGTCTGTCACATGGAATTTGAACAAAATTAATTCACTTTTATGGTTATACACGATGTGGCAAAATGTACACACAGTATTTCCTTGAATAAATGTGTAAACGCAATATATTCACAGGCTCAACATTATCTACACCTGCACAATCTTCATTTCATTGACACGCTCAGTGCTTTTTGTGTGTGTGTGTGTGTGTGTGTGTGTGTGTGTGTGTGTGTGAGAGATTTTATTTCGTGACATTTTGTATGTATGACTGTGCACTGTTTTTAGCTACCATTTGTAAATACCACGAAGCGGTCTACTTAATACCTGTTGAGCCATGTCTATTTTCATCATTTACAATTCATCAGACTGTCAAATTAACTTCCAGGGGAACAAATTATGCTATCATTGCACACCTGTGAGGGTTCGCACTGAGAGGCAGCAAGGTGTCGACCATTAAGCCGCCGCTGTAATCCAAAAAGTATATTATTTTTATGATCATTGTCGTCATAATCATAACGAGATAGGTGACATTTTCTTCTCGTGGTGTGTTTATGTGTGTCGTGGATAAAAACCGGAGTCCGTGTCATCAAAGTTCCAGGACTGCCGTCACCAAATATATATTTCAAATCCAAACTACTAAGTTTAGTTAAGCATAATTAATAGACTTGGTGCCGTTTATTTATTAATTAAACGTAGTATAAAATGTTCGTTTCATGTACGCGATTGTGTATCGCAGTTACATCGGACGGACATTGTTGTTCCGCAGTGGGCCACCAGAGAGCAGTGTAGACAATTCTTCAGACAGCATGTTCTGCACTGAACATGACTAGGGTTGTACTGTATATACGAAGCTGTACATACCTTTTATCACTTTTATTTTCTTTTTTGGTGGTTGCTCTTACGTCATATCAACTGCCTTTGCATCCTCCTTCTGCTTTTTTGTTTGTGTTTCCATAGTTTTCTCTGTCGTCATTGATGGATTTTTTTCACTGTTTCTTGTTTTTTTTTTTTTAATTTAGGTCCTATATTGTTTAGAATAACAACTGGGTGTATTCAACGAAACACATCTTAACCAAGGTGCACATAATTATGGAGGGCAGTGTAACAAATCGACTGCACCACGGGGCAGTACAATTGACATGTGGTTGTAAAACAGGGTCATGGTAAGAACTATTCAGTCAGCTGCAGAATTAGCAGTCATTTTTCATCGAGGATCAAGAAAATATGCCTGTTGAACTTATTTTATGTTTGAATTTGTTTTGTGGTCCAGGATTCATCGGTGATGTGTCACACCTGCGCTCACTGGCCAAAATATTGATATTGTAAGCTTTAATTCAACCCTCTTGTCAACCCATTGTTAAAAAAAATTAAAAAAAAGATAAACAATATATTCACTATTTTGGATGCATTGTATCCTAATGTCACCACAAACTAAGGAAAGCACAATAGTACAACCACTCCATGTAATGCAGAGTAGTTCTTGTCAAATACTGCTTGTGCCACTTTAAACGAAGCATTATGGAGGAGAGTAGAAGTGGATCAGTTCCACATTGTCAAAACAATTCTCAAGTTCGAAAAAAATTGAAGGAAAAATGGTATCTGCGGATGACTGAAATATCTTAGCACACATATTCAAGTGCTTGTACTTGTGCAAATGCAACACAGTGACAACGCGCGCACACACACACTCTCAAACACACACACACACACACACACACACACACACACACACACACACACAATGCATAGACAAGGAAGATTTATTCCATTTCCTGCTCTCAGTGGGTACAAATAATTGAATTCTTCTACATCTTGTTCAATACCCCATGATGCATTGCATCCATATGTTTGTAGCTCAAAACAGCTTTACAAAAAGGATATACAATATATACTTGTGCGTGCGTGTGTGTGTGTGTGTATATATATGTATATATGTGTGTGTGTATATTTACATGTATATGTATTTATATATACAGTGCTTCTTTTTATGCATTTTGGACGTGTTTGGATTGGTAAAACAAGCATACACAACATATATTAATAATGTATATCAAAGTGGCCCAAAGATGGCTATTTGACATTGAATGAAGCCCTTCATGCGCGGTTTGCATATTTTTCACATGTTGTAGAAACACAGAGTGATTGCTTTCCTTTTTTTTACTGCACAATATGGTGAACCTGTTTGAAGCATGGGTCAGCTTCAAAAATTATACACACACACACACACACACGCACACAAACATGAAATCGCTTAATTTGATGATTATGTGGCTCACGGAAAGATTCATTTCACCATCCCCAACTTGTCTTAGTCTTCTTTTCTGTCTGAGAATCACATCCGTCCATCTTTTTCTCAGTCACATACTAAAAGATGAATGTGCACACAAGCATTTCTACTTCATGAGTATGGCTTTGGGACCGCAGTCCAAGTGATTTTTCCCTTTTAACCTTTGAACTTTTTTGTTTCGCAGTTGACACTTCTGTCCAACCAGGATATGTTTTTTGTTTTTTTTTAAACCGCTACACACATCAGGGGACTTTGAGATGAATAAGACAAGGACAAAAGTATGGGGGCACACATCTTAAGAAGTATTCATACGGTTATGTAATTGTTCATCTTTTATCATCACGTTTGAGCGCTAATCTCAACCAAAGGAAATTGTTAGTCAAACCCTCTCAGGTCCTACTTCACCGCCCTCCAACTTTTTTGTTACCCAGAATTCCTACCAAAAAAAAAAAAAAAACTTGACGAAATCTTGTAAGTCTTCCCAGAAGAATGGACACTGTCCCCCTTTTACATTAACTATAAAAAGTTTTTTTTTGTTTGTTTTTTTTAATTATTATTATTTTTTTTTAAGTCAAGTTGTTTTATGTTTCGTTTGACAGTAAACTCCAAGCGAGAACAGCAGTCAACAACTTGATGCCTCTTTTTTCTTTTTTGAAAAATTGTTTACTATCTGCCAAACTGCTGCTTGTTGTGACGTGAGTTGAGTTCACAAACACCAAACAGCACGGCGGTTTATATCTTTAAAAAACTTGTAATTTAAGTCCGTTGTATCCAAAGACACTATTTTGCTGACTTCTGTGTAAAAGTCTCAGGTGAGTAAAATCTTCTGTTACATTTTGCAGAATCTCTGTGTAAAATGGGGTTATTAATGCTGTAAAGAGGGACCAGCTCCATATTTTCCTCCATTTTCCCTTCTTGTAGGTGTAATGTGTCCCAATACTTTTGTCCAGGTAGTCATTTACAAATGAATAGACGCAAAAAAAAAGAATTTGCGAGAAATGTCAAACAATACGTCTACTGTGCTGTGTTTTTGTACTTTGTCAACATTACTTTTGGTGTTACTCACTTCACATTATATAGCTCAAAAGAATTACAGAAGTACATCATTGTCAATACAACAGAGTAGTAATAATAATAATAATAATTTTTAAAATAATAATAATCATAGTCATCATCATGTGTATACTAAGTTATCATCATTCATGTAAACATATTGAATTAACCAGGTCATGCAAACAGTAGACCAACTTCCACTAGAGGTTGCACAGCACAGAGCAGGCCAAACGCCCACACTGAGATCCCGGACAGTAACGAGCAAGCATTTTTTATTTTATATGATGAGAATTTGTAGGTTCAAATTTTTTAATTTTGGGGGGGGGTCACTGATGATGCAACCACTCAGTCGCCTGATTTGTGTGGGTTTGATGAACACTTAAGTTGTGATTGACTGGAAAGCAGTCCAGGGTGTGGTCTAACTTTTTATGGATGGATTGATCTTTTTTGGGGGCGGGGGAGGCTTTTCCACATCATGCACTTTTGAGACTCAGTCGCACGTCCCATTACAACAAATGCTGTAGGATGGGGGCGGGGGGGATCTCAGTGTGAGACTCTAACAACAAAACAGCCATAAAACAACCCCCCCCCAAAAAAAAATAATCTTCATAAGCTTGCATGTTGTCCAACCCCCTCCCTCCCTCCCGCAACCCCCGACCCTCCGGACATGCATACACTTTCAGGTCAGAACCGCTTGTCACCAACCCAGTCTGAGCCAGAACAAAAAGAGTTCTTCACAATCGTTTAAACGCACCACTTTGACCAGTGACTCCTAAATATTTCTATTTAGTATATCCTGAAAGCTCATCTAGTGTGCTTCAAGAAATTATTCAGTTTTACTCAATTAGTCTGAAAAGTATTATTTATTTACTACAAATTACTTGCACAACTTGCATTGCTCACCGAAGCATTGCTTGTAACCGATTAATCGGTCGGGCCCTATTACAAATATTTACCTTTGTTCATCAATCATTGCAATTCCACTTAGAGACTAACAAAACCATTACATACTCTTCCACTCGATGGCAGAATGTACAGTTAATCTGTGTAACCACATGAGTTTTCCTGCGAGTCTATCAGCTTTGCGTTCAACTGAACATGGCCAGACTTCACACTCAGAAGTAAATTACAGGTACAATACACTGTACCCTTTACAGGTAAACAATTTGAAAACTGCCCAATGTTTCAGTCCTTTCTGCACCACTTGCTTATTCTCTCAGGAATGCCCAAATTCACAACAGGTGATGGCTCCATGAATGGACCTATACATTTCCCAAGATCTCCACTTCTAAATCTTTCTGTGAGTCTTCCAGTCTCTCTGTTGCAATCTTCTGATGACACACTCTGACAATCTAAGCTCAGTTGCCAGGATTTTGGGTTCCTGGTATGTGCGATATACAGTTTGTGGCAGCACAGGGCCATCTGATGGGCCTCCAAGCATGCATTCAGTCTTTAGCACCCCCTTGTGGAGACATAAAGAATGCATGGATTTTGGCATGGGGACGAATGAAGGCAAAACAAGCAGATGGCCTTTAATTAACCCTTTTATGCACCTTGTAACCTGATAACATGATAAACTGTGCACTGTAGTAACCACTGTCCCTGAAAGGGTAAAACTAGATAGATGTCACAACTAACGTAAGGAGGACAGGCATGACGATGTCTGCCATTCGGGGACTGTCCCTGGATAATGGTCCATACACTGGACACCTTACGATCGCTACTCTGCATTCCTGGCCAGACTGGGTGAGCAGCAGTTCTCTGTGCACTCCAGAGGGTCTAAATATAATCGTTTTGGGGGAAAAAAATATATAAATTAAACAAAAGACATTGAGGTTGTGTTCAGATGCGACTGGCCGGCCTGCAGCAGTAAGTACAGCTCCTCAGGCTGTCTCGGTCCGTGCTGCCCTCTGCGCTTCCACGGCGGTCATCGCTGTAATGGGACACTGGACGGGACAGATGCCAGATACACAACACGCACTTATTCATTCCAGCAGTTCCTTCAAGACCCAGTAGGTGGCAGTAACGCACCTCAGGGAAGTGGTAGGCGGGAAGCAGTGACCTACATTTACAACTTCAATTCTGATATTTGTTCCATGAACTTGGATTACATTATTCCTAACTGTCTGTTCTCTTTACCGCATACTGTTTCCCATGGAATGCACTGCATCCAGTACATGTATGGAGTTTTCCAATCAGAGTTCAGCCCTCTGTGTGTGACCAATTCAATCTAATCTGCCTAGGAGCTTCAGAATCAGTCGAGTCACTTCGACTTTATTATTTATATTTATGAATCAGGTGTTAGGTTCAGCAACAGGTAATACTGTAGCTATAGATTACAACACAATAAAATCCGTACTGTGTTAGCTTTTATAGGTCAAATTTTAAAACAAAAAATACCAATATCTCATACACTTGATATGCCAGAAAAAAAGTAAACACAATTTTTTAAATCACCGGCAAGGGGGTATGTACTTTTTTTTTTTTATGTCTTTTACTTGATAAATATTGATGCTGATTTTCACCAGGTGATGGTATTAAGAGGTTGCTTAAATCGGGTAAATCTCCAGTCTTAGCCTGGGTACCACACGTACTTTAGATTTTTTTTCACCCTTTCATGCACCAACAATGACAACCTGTAACCTGATAACATGATAAGCTGTCCACTGTAGTGATCGCTGTCCCTGAAATGGTTAAAGTGGTTTATTCATGACAGAAATGTGAAAAGTAGCATCATTGCCTGTACAGTTATTTGACAGTTTGGAATGCATTCATTTGCTTAACGTGATTTCCTGTAGGGAAAAAAAGTTTTTGAATTAGAACAATTTGGAAGCTAACCAGTCTCACGGAGCAATCTGTGTTTGACTAAGAAGGTGCTGCTGTACTTAGTAATCCAGTGAGGACAACTGAGCAGGGTAAACAGAATAAAATACATCATTATCAAATAGATTACCATGTTAATGACCCTTGATCCGTCATACCCATCAGCTCTGAATTATTGAGTTGTTCCGGGTTTAGAGTGACAATATCGTGAGCTGACAGCTCCGAGTTATGCGTTCATTAATTTTGTGTTTTATTGCGGTGAGTAATTGCTTTTCTGTCTCATTTCATGCAGTGTTCTGTTATTACGAAGCGGCAAGTCAGGCTTTCTTAATTTGTGACACTCGATGATGAGTTCATCTTCCGATTTCGTAAACCAAGGTATATGCGTTGAAAAAAAAAAAGAGATGATAAACGATTTTCAGATAAAAACATGAAGTGCTTTGAAAACTCACAACTCTCGTTCTCGCCATTCCCCAACTCATCTTCCTCTTCCTCCTCAGGCAGCAGGAGTCCGTGACAGGGGCTGGTCGGGGTGATCTGACTCGGTCCCTCCACGCTGGTCCCCAGCTGCAACCTGCGCATGTGACGCACCACTGCCGTGGCGTTGAACGCTTGCTGTGTTGTGCAGAGAAAGAGGGTAGGGTAATTCGCAAAAGCGTACACAAACTTTGTGCTTCTACCATAGCACTAACCTTCCACTTGCTTTTGGCAAAGTTCTTCTTGATTTGAGCACTGACGGATTCATGGATGTTCTTATCTAAAGCTGTGTCTCCACAGATCCTGGGTAAGTGACACATATCACATATTAAGCAGGGTAATGCATTTTTTGTCTTCATCCTTTTGTTAATCTGTTGTATTTTACATAAATGTCATGTATGTGTATTTTAAAAATACATTTATAAGACTCCTGGTTTCCAGTATAATTAAATGAGCCTCAGGTGAACCAGAAGGACATTAACCGTTTCATGCAGTCTGTATCTTGATAACATGATAAGTTGTCCACTGTAGTGACCGCTGTCCCTGAAAGGGTGAAAGACAAACGCAGGCATTCACTCTTTCGCTGAACCAACTGAGTGCCAGCCAGTTTAGAGACTTCACACCGATCATTCAAGGCTCATAGCTTATTGATATTATTATTACTGAACAGTCATTTTCGTCTTTAAAATACCAAGAGCAACATTGAAAATGTGCTTTTGATGACTAAATAAAATATTTACAAATATCACAATTGGAACAGTTTACCATTTGACAAACTTAACAAACTATTTGCATGCCATTTATTAAAAGTAGTATTTTGTAGTGTGTGTGTGTGTGTGTGTGTGTGTGTGTGTGTGTGTGTGTGTGTGTGTGTGTGTGTGTGTGTGTGTGTATGCATAATATGTACATTTCGTCTTGTATCACTTGATACTCTGCCAGAATTAGTTCTTTCATTTTCACTTCCTATCGCAGTTTTTCCAAATAATGTACATCATTAACAGTTTATCATTATGTAATCCCACCCCCAACCACACACACACACTCTCACACACACTTTTCCATACTTCTCTGCTGTTCCAATGAGAGGATGATTATTTGCGGTATGAGTAACAGTTCCTACCATGGATGCTGGAGGGCCTGTTCACATGTGTATCTTTTAGAAGGATCTTTCTCCATCATGTGGCAGATGAAGTCTTTGGCTACAAAAAAAAAGTTGCGTTTATGATAATGACGTGTTTTCTGATTTTGTATGCTCCAAGTATTAACTATCTAGGGATACCTGAATCGCAGATGTCATCCCAGTACGGCGAGTCAAATTCATACTCTGCTTTCAGGATTTGTTCAAACAACTTGGCATCGTTTTCGTCGTAAAATGGAGGATAACCGCAAAGTCTAAAGGTATGTTGAAGCAAAGAACACACCGCCGATTAGGTACAATAAAGTCTGATGATTATTTCTTTGCAAAGAAAATAATGCTCATGATTTATAAAGACTGTCTGAAAGGTATGAACTTTTTGTTGTACTGCGCCAACATATTTGACAATTATTAGAGGTGTAACAAAAAAAAAATTCAAATCGGAAAATCGGTTTTGATTTGACAAACCAAATTGCATTGTTGCAATTTATAATGGTTACATCCATAAATCATATCGCCGCACATTTTTACCTCTGTAAAGGCAGATTTTATTGCAACAAACAAAGAAATTCCAACTCACAAAATATAAGAAATGACTCCTATGGACCAGCAATCGACTGCTTTGCTGTACGGCTTCTGCGCGAGCACCTCAGGAGCTGTGCAACACACACAAATGCACAGCACAGGTGAGGGTAGGATTCAAAGTCATCTTGACCTTGGTGAGCAGCCGAGTCACGTTAAAGAGTGTAGAGAGTACTTATAGATCGCTTGTACTTGACTTAGTAGGGGATGAGAGAGCCTCTCATGAAGCAACGTGCACAAGAGGATGTCAGCTGAGCGACAGAATGCTGAGCATACACAAGCGAAGAGTGGCTCACCCAGGAAATAAATGCCTCACCCACATATCCGGGAGTCCCGCAGGCTGTAGACATGACGCTGCCCGCTCCCTCAATTTTGGACAGGCCGAAGTCACTGATCATGATCTTAGAGTCTTCGTCCATGCTGTAATACAACAAATTCTCCGGCTGCAAATAGAGGTATCATGAGAGCAAATAGACAGAATGCAAGCTGCAAAATTTGGCTCCATTTTTTCCCCCTCCTACCTTCAAGTCTCTGTGCACGATGCCCATATCATGAAGATATTTAACTGCATCCAAGATCTGGTGGATGAGCTGGCTGGCATCTCTCTCTGTGTAGAAGCCCTTCTCCACGATCCTGTCAAACAACTCGCCACCTGACACACTGCACGATAAAAGTGAAGCTGATCTTAATTGTAACTGAGTGACAGGCTGCGGTTTGTATTGATGCTGAAGGCAAAAATGACAAGCTGACAAGTTGAACACAAATGGCTCCCGAACAGCCTTGAGGAGTTCCACATCACTGTCGCGTGTAATTGCTAAAGCGTCTACAAACATCGGCTTAGTATTGATGTTCAAGAAAAAAAATAACAATTTGGTGCTGTTCTTGAGACATTTTGTAAAACATGATGTTCGAGAATTATGCCTTGAGGAACATGTATGTTTATTCCATCAAGCCAATTGTGTTTAGAGCCTTGACATTAAAAAAATAAAAAATAAAAAAATATCTCAAACCATTGCTCAAAGCTGTTTTCTCATTTGAGTAAAATAAAAAAAAAAAAGCCAAGGAAGGGCCCTTTCTTTTCTTGCTCAAGGCTCTCAACACAAGTGGCTTTAGACCAGCACCTTGAGGAACTCCTGTGTAAAGTTTGTCACATCAACAAATTACAGTTTGAGTTAATGTAGAATACAAAAACTGTTGTTCCACGAGGCTGTTCTCTGAAGCCTTTGCTAAAATTAAATGAGTTGAGAACATAGCACTGAGGAACTCTGCTTCACAGTACCACATAGATAGGTTAAACATTTACAAACACCAGCTCTAGCTGGATTGACAATGACAGAAAAATGACAGACTGGGTTCCTCTGGACTCAGTTTTTGAGCCATTTATTTTAACGCAGGTTTAACCTAAAGCTGACACTGCCAAAAGCTTTGAGGAACTCTTCTTCACGCTATCATGGCACAAAAACACAAATGGCTTGTGAACAGAGCCTTAAGGACCTCGGCTTATCTTTTTTTGCTCCTAAAGTTGTTTGTTCCCCAACTGTTTCACACAAGCGACTCAAAAACAAAGTTGGTATATATGTTCTAGGCAAAATTAATGACACGCAGTGAGGAGCAAGGCTGAGTTCTCAAGCCCTTTGTGCAAAAAAGGTGTTGAAGCAAATGTCACAAAAACAGAGCCTTGAGGAACGCTGATTGTCAGTTATTTTCCTCAATTAAAATAATGGTATCATTAATTGATTAAACACATGCCACATTGTCTGTAAAAATGAGAATATCAGTGTGTCACTTTGATATTGCACAAACACTCCTTGATTTTGAACCATGAGATCACTTATAATGAAATTCTGGTTGGACAGTAAATCAGGCATTTTTTTCCGAGCAATTTAGTCAGGAGTGTCCAACAACTGGAACAGGATCTCTTTCCATTAAAAAATGCTGCTGCTGCTGCTTCTGCTGCTGCTGAAAGGTTTGAATATTTCATTTGGAAGAGACTACAAACAGTATGCTGCATGTACAGTATAACATAACAGCGGAGCATCATTTTAAAAGAATGGGTCCAGCTTTGTAGAATCTAATAAAACGGCACCAAGAAAGAAAAAAAAAGACATCTGCATTTTGTCTCAAAATGACCTCCACCCTCCAAATTATAATTCCAAATTAGCAGCTCTTGAATTGAAAGCAGAACTCACAGCTGCATGACGAGGTACAGATGAGACGTGCTTTCGAAGATATCCTCCAGCGAGACGATGTTAGGGTGCTTGATTCTGAAAAAGTCATGAAAGCATAATTACTGTCTAGAACATTCCTCTTGTGCTCGCTGTAAAGCGGTCACCAGATGGCATTATTGTTGCGTTATGTCACCATTCGAACGCCTCGCAAGTGTAAGATAATGCACGGACGCAGTAGCGTTGGGCTGATGAATGTGCTACTCGGAGCAGATTTTAAAATGACGGGAAGTGTAAAGTATGCAGTGTGAAGCCTCCAGCAGGGTATCGCTTATCAACATGTGAGATTGTGAGAATATGTCACTTTAACACTGTGGCAGATGATGGAGGATATTGCAGGGTGAGCAAGTGCGCTCTTTTCCAGATTGTTTTTTTTTCCCATGTAATGCTGCTCTTTTATTGGCTTAATAGTGACTTCAAATTTCAGTCCATACCACCCACCCTCTCTTCTTCTCCACCCCTTATGTCTCCTTCTCTTCAATACATTGCTTCAGGGAACTCCACACCATCTCCGCCTCTGTGTGCTGTTGCCCTGGCAACTGGGACACTAAAAATAGGTCTATCTTCTTTACTCCTGACATTTCCGGTGCACAATCCTACTGTTTCTACTGACACCGTGCATTCGGTGGCCTGTTCACTTGACCTCCTGCATAGAATGTGCCTGAGGTTCTTCAATTGGACAACAGGAGTCACTTTTGAGGGTGGTCAACTCACCTGTGCAGTACCGCGATCTCATTCTCTATATTGTTCTCTTTGCCTTCCAGCGCTTTCTTGGGGATGCACTTGATAGCCACCAGCCTTTGTGTCCTCTTCTCCTCGGCAAGAAGCACCTCAGAGAAAGCACCCCTGGGCAAAATCAAGCCGTGGACATATGAAGAAAGAAGCAATTCCAGAGAAGTTCATTCTGATAATACTGTTTGTGGTAACAAACGCTTGACATATTATTATTATTATTAAAACATGATGTGCTACAGTAAAACCAGGGCAGATTAGGGATCAACACAAAAAAAATTCATCCAGAGAAGTTTACTTGTATTTCGGATTAAAAAAAACATTTATGACCAGTGTTAGGAATACAGCCACATTTCCACTTAAAAGAGGATGTGCACACTTGTGCAGCCACGTAATGTCAGTTCGTGTATTTTTACCTCCCCTTTTGAAAAGTTTTTTTTTTTCCCAATTCATTTGTTCATGTTACAGGCTACATTATTGTTTTGAAAAAGTTTTCAAATGATTTAGCTTTGACTTGTACTTTCATATCCCCAAAACCTGGCAGCTGTTCAGGGGTGTGTAGACTTTTTACATCACCTGTAGAGAGCCACTCAATGGGACAAACCGTAATCGAGTCATATGTCAAATGAAAAGTATTGGGGGCATTACATACCTATATCTATCAAATCCATATGCTGCGGTTTTATGGCACAATAAGTGTTATTTTGCCCGAAAAACTCCCCGCAAAATCAGAAATCACCTTTGAATGTTCCATTTGTATCAAGGCCTTACAGCAATCCGGTCTCACACAAAAAAAAAAAAAACGTTAATTTCCTGCAATTTTTATCCTATCCTCACCAAATTTGGTGGACAGAAAAAAATCTATTGGCAACACACTATATCAAGCCATACACCAAATTAAAGGACGATTCCACACGTATCCTGATACGTAACATGCAGTATGATTCAAGGATGATTCGATTCAGTTCAATTCAGTATAATAACGATTCCATTCAATATAGCACAGCTGAGTTTGAGAGGGTATGATGCAATGAGTTTCCTGATGTCATTTTTCAGACAGATGAATGAACTTGTCACTTCTGTAAATGTTTTGAAGTGAAACAATTTGAGATACAGAACTATTTTGTCCAAAAAACACACTGAGTCACTCATCTGTAATTGTTTGGTCAGTGCATATATGACATCATACTGTACCTCCTAGAGACAAGGCATATCAAGTGACATGGTGGTGCACTTTAGCAAGATACCCTGAGCTGAACTGGATTAACTTTGAGGCGATAGATATGATGATTCAACAAATAACCAGCACCCTTTGCTGATAAGCATCTGGATGCACTTTTTTTGTATGTGGCGTGTGTGGTAGTCACTGGATGAATAATTCAAAGTGGTTACATTATCGACATGGGGGTAGGGGTCTGAGAAAAGTTCCAAAGATGAATCCGACACAACACTCACACATAGATATTTACAGGAACAGCACCTGCTCTAAATAAATAAATAAATAAATAACAATGATAATAACAATAATAATAAGATATTTGCTTATAATAGATATAAATATAGCATGGCTGTTTTCCAGAAGAGACTAAACTGCATTAAAGATTCTGCTGAGGGGGAGAATGACATGCATTTACACAGTAGCGTGGGGTGAACACAGAAGGAGGCCATGGACATTGTTAGAGACCACAACTGTGCTGTGAGACAAGAAAAAAGACCATGTGGCCATCAGCGATATGCAGGGTACAGGAACAAAAACTGAAAATCTTTTTTCTTTCTTCCTTCCAAAGAACATTTTGGGGTTCTCTATTAGGTTCATCCCAGAATTAAAGCTCATGCACACAAAACCTAATATTTGTCAGTGACTCTCACAAATCGGAGTCTGGAGAGCATGTGCTCAGTCACACATTGCAACTGTTGCTGTGAGACACATGTAATTAAGGATCCACTTGCTCATTGCACCTTGGAGACTTCGCTCTCTGCGGATTTGCTGCTGAGCACTACATACTGTTATTTGGCATGGCTGACATTTACCTAAGAGCCCATTGTAAAAGCTTTTCAAGGCATAGCTAACGAGAAACATAAATAACGTTGATTATTTCGATCATGCTGGCCCGCACTAAACTAACCACCACAGGGATGGTTTAGACTGCTGTAAGTATCCATGGCTGTATGTCTGCACTTACATGTCCTTTTTTTTTTAAATATCTCCTTATGGCTACTGTACATACAGTATGATTATGTTATGATATAACTGTATATTATTGCATTTTGCATTTATATTCTCAAGGACGTGACGGCTAAAATGTCCCCCAAGCACACTATCAAATGTGTTTTGTAGACATTGAGAAATGCCGATGTATTTATTTATTTTATGTTAAAGAAAACAGACAAGGAATTTCATACAGGGAATTTTCCTGATTTAGGCAAACTATACTTCAAGGTTAACTAACTAACTGACTGACTGTGGCAACAATGGCAACTGACTAACTAACTGTGCTAATAGACGACCTGCCACTACCCAGACAAGCAGTGGCTCATTGACTATGCAAACGTTGCGACTTAACTAAACAGCAAACCAACTAACTGACTCGTGCTCACTGAGTCCATAAACTCAGTGACTATGCTAACCGTGCTGATTGAATAGTTATCTGAGCTGACTAATTGTGCTAAGGTACTTATTACCTTGTCTAGCCTTGCTTTGCTAATTGACGATGTAATTAGCTAACTAACCAACCGATTAATGATCCTGACTGACTGTGCTAATTACCATTCTAACTCTGCTAATTATCCACCAGTCTAACTTTGATAACTGACTGACCATGCTAATAATGGCAATTGGCCAGCTAATTAACTGAAAAACTAGCCAACATAACAGATTGACAAGGCAAATTGTACGAATTGGCAAGCTAACAATATCTGCTGACTGATTGACTGTGCTTGTTGACTGCTTAACGAACATATATGATCACTAAATGACTATCCAGTTGACGCTAATTGATGACCTAACAACCTGTCTAACTATATGACTGGCTATCCTGTTTAACTAACCAACTGTTATGCTAACAAACTGATTGACTCTTTCATCTACAGTGTATATTAATTGTATTGAGCGGACTGTACGTCGATGGCTCAAAGGGCCCCGAGCCAAAGTGAGACATGAGCAGTGCAGCAACACATCCGATTATTCATTATGTCATTTCACTGCAGTGTGCTTGTGTGACGAAGAACACGCGACACAAGCATCTTCCTGTGTCATCCCTTTGAATGAGGACACTTTGTCCTGACACCCGACTCAGCCTCAAACTGTGAGGATTAGACAGAATAGAACATAAAATAATTTAAATCAATTAACCTCATGCACTGAATTCCTGTATGAGCTTCTCTGTAATCGTCTCTCGGAGCCATTAAGTAGCTTTTCATCGACACATTAATGCCAGGTCCGGCAACACTGACAATTTGACTACAAATCTTGAAAGGCGCTTATAAATAAAATGTATTATTATTATTATTATTATTATAAATACTGTCTGTATTACACCACCTGGAATAATGTTACTGCAAATTACACAGCTTTAATTTTTTGTGGGACAGAAGTAGAAATGCAACGTCGTGTGTCATGTACTTTGTTATTTAATTACATGTGATGTTGTGGTTTTCTTTTGTGAAGACGTTTTGCCTCTCACGTTAACTTCTTAATGAGTTCATGTAACAGGCTAGTTAGACACTAGTAGCCAGGCTATTTGTGGGAAACCCAACTATTTATCCTCCAAGTTGGAGGTTAGGATTACTGGTATGCTGCAAAAAGAAAAATGGTATCATCGTTTTGCCAAAAACAATGGTTGTTAAAATGCCTTGTAAAAAGGATCCCACTTTGCATTCTTTGCTGTGTCAAGGATGTTCCAACTTACGTCCCCAGCACTTCTTTGAAGTCATAATGCTCTTTAATGTCGGACGTCTTCTTCTTCCACCCATTGCCGTCCTCTCCTAGAGGCATCCTGTCACACTGATGGGATTCGCCACACTACAGCTGCAAGTAGACCAAACGAGCAGCATACACAATTCATTTGTTAGCCCTCAGCAAAAGACAGCCCATGCTGAAAAGATGACTTTTTGTCACAATCAATGTAGAAGCATTATGGCACAAGTTGGAATAATGTGTGTGTGTGTGTGGGGGGGGGGGGGTTAAACTTGAATAGTGCTGTGGCATACAATATCCATAATTATATTTGGACTGCAGAGAGTATGCTCACGCACAATAGATCCATTACTTCACTTAGCCTGATGTGAGTAATGGTTAGTGCAGCTCATGTTTGACTCCACTGAATGACATTGACACAATACAATCCATCTATTTTCTATGCAGTGCTTGTCCTCATTATAGCCACAGGTAAGCTGGAGCCTATCCCAGTTGACTTTGGGCAAGAAAAGCAGGGTACACCTGACTGGCCTCCAGCCAATCGCTGGGCACATGTACACATTGACATTAACACCCATTGACAATTTGAGTCGTCAATTGTGGGAAAAGTTTGCGTAAACAAGCATGGGGAGGACATGCATACACTCCGCAGGAGGGCCGTAGCTCAGATTTAAACTCAGAAGCTCTCAACTATGGTAAACGTGCGACGTGCATTGCTGGTCCGCACAGGATGTGCAGCAATACCCTTGCACCTAAAGGTGAATGCTGGAAGTGATTATCCGACTTTGACACCATACCCACAATAGATGCTTCACATTGAGTGTCATTTGGGTGCTTTCCCTAGAACAGTGGCTCTGTCGAACCCCTGAGACTGATTCTCCGAACCCCTAGGGTTCGATCGAACCCAGGTTAAGAACCACTGCCCTAGAAGTTTGACAAACTAAGAGCCCTGGAATTCGGCCAAAGAGGCTTCCTCCAACCAAAATAGCTGTCAGCCTGTTTCATTCCATACTTGGGTCGAGACTGTTCCTGGTATCCTGGTATTACAGCCCATTGAATTCCGTGTTGTGCTATAAGGTGCATTCTGCTGTCAGTGTCCGAGAGCCCCAAAATACTGTACATACATTGACAGCAAAAATTGGTGATTTTTTTTTTCTCTATTGAAGCCCCTCGGGGCTATTATTTCATTGCAAGAATACATGCAACGATTCCAAGAGGGCCCAAATAACTCATAAGTTAGATTCATAAAGCGCCTTTCAAGGTACTCAAGGACGCTGAACAATATTTCAAGCCTTCTGGACCGTTTAACTGTACCTTCCATGAACAAAAATGTACAGCCACATCTTTTGCTAACAGGCAGCCTTGATAAAAAGGCACTAACATAGGCGCTGGAAGTAGGGCAAAGAGGGCCAGTCAAAAAAAGCGTAGAGACAAAAAAAAAAAAAAAAAAAAAAAAACTATAAGGGCAGGCAGCAAACGATTCCAAGAGGGCCCAAATAACTCATAAGTTAGATTCATAAAGCGCCTTTCAAGGTACTCAAGGACGCTGAACAATATTTCAAGCCTTCTGGACCGTTTAACTGTACCTTCCATGAACAAAAATGTACAGCCACATCTTTTGCTAACAGGCAGCCTTGATAAAAAGGCACTAACATAGGCGCTGGAAGTAGGGCAAAGAGGGCCAGTCAAAAAACGTAGAAAAAAAAAAAAAAAAAAAAAAAGAATAACATGCATGGTCAGTAGAGAGAATGATGACAGCATTTAAAGCTTTGAGACAAATATCAACCCCAATAAGTCAATTCAAAGTTTTAAATGAAACTGTAATGCATGGATAAAGATCTGAACTGAAAATGAGTTTTAAACGGAGAGACATGTTTGCTGAAAATTTAAAATTGTGCTTGCAAGCGTGCAGAAAGCACTGTGGGTGTACTGCACCACTCAAGGATGTGACACGCAAAGCAAGACCGCATCGTTATAGGTTCATCCACACGGGTGTCAGGCATGGACAGTTGATATTTTGTATTCATAGAAACATGGACATCAATGCGAGGGCGGATAAAACGTACCTAAATGGCGATCTGTGCCCGGGGTTGTGCGCTCCTTGCCTCCGGGAGAGATGCTGATGCTGCTGGCCGGGCTTGTGCGCAGCGCTGCCGCTCCGCTTGTGCTCTCCTGACGTCAAAGACACGCACGACTGTGAACGTAGTGCAGCATGAAATCACTGGATGGGGCGAGGGGGGGGGGGGATATAATACGGTGTCAATCAAAAATGAGCTATCTTTCCAAATGCTGAAACTGAGGGATTTGGTTTGTAAATAAAATCATGTAATAAAATAATTTTGGGAAGCACGAATCATTCAATCAACTTGTTAATTTATGTTACAAAAAGTTTGTTTCTACTAAATTTCATTCATGTTATTTTTGGCACGCGATTTTTATGTAGCTTGAACGCGGTTGTAGTACTATTCCGAATCTGTAGGTGGAGACAGTGCCCGTTCATGGTGCTTGTTTTCACCATACAAACAACCCGAGCTCAACTTCTTCCGGGCTGGAGTTTTCAAAGACTGGCTACTTATCAGCTACATCTTAGCTCAGGGAATTACGACCGTCTTCTCCATATTTGCGGTAAGTTCGTTTTGCAATAGCTGAGTTATGACATACTTTCCGTCTGCTTTATTTTACAGAGCTATATACAATTTGTCGATTTGTTCTTTTGTTCGGCCAGCGGGTGTAAACATGCTAACAAGCTCCTTGCTTTGTTTCATACATCCAAGTGATGATCGTGCTTAGCGACTAAGTTTGGACTCGTAGCACGATTCTTGTACCGTTTTGAATGTAAAGACTGGCGTATACGTTTCAGAAAATGGGCATGCATTCTCTGATTTTGTAGCCCGTCGCTATAAGCAGCCCATCAATGTCGAGCGCGAAGAGGAGGAGAGCGACTTCACCCTCCAGTAGTGTGAGCGGAGGAGGGGATCTCGACGACGTTTCCACCCCTGGAAGTGGTCGTAAAAGAAAATGGGCTTCCAGTGTTCCCCCTGTAGACACGGTAAGTACTCGAGTTTGGTGATGAGGTATTTGGATAATCTCCCAAGTACTCACAACGCTAATTGATGTCTGACGTTTAGATTGCTGTATGCCACGAGCTGTACAACGCCGTCAGGGACTACAAGGATGATCACGGGAGAAACCTCAGCGAACTTTTTCTAAGGGTACCAAAGAGAAGGTACAGTATTGCATTATAAATATTCGGAAAATTAGTTTTCGCTTGTATCCTGCTTTTCCACCATGACACATCAAAAGCACAGCAGTCCAAGGACACTTTGACATGGTATCCGGGGTTTAGGTCGGACCTAAACCTTCAGCATCCAAAATGACCACTCTACTTCTCGAATCGTGTCACTCTAAAATGCCATCCACCAAACAATGATTGCAAAGTTTTTCATACACCTACACAGTTCATTTATATTGCTCTATATTTTCTGATTTCTGTAGTTCTTTGTGAAAGCAGGTTACCAGTATTGTTTTTTTTCCCCCATAGTAAAATATTTGCTTTTATTTGAAATTTAAAAATTTTTTTCCGATATTCTGACTTTAGTTGCAGCCCTAATGGAGATTCCGTGTGACTGAAATGTTTGAACCACGAGACAAGTGGAGATAGATGTATACCATATGTTTTGCTTTTTTAAACAGGACTCTTACTAATGTTTAACTTTCCCTGAGCAACTTATTCTGACCAAAGAGTAACAACAGTTTTGAAGGTCGTTAATTGTGTGCTCTGTTCATTGTATTCTCCAGAAACCTGCCTGATTACTACGAGGTGGTGTCCCAGCCGATAGACATGACAAAAATTGCACATAAACTGAAGGCTGAAGATTATCAAGAAGTGGAGCAGCTCACCGCAGACTTCCAGCTCATGTTCAACAATACCAAATCCTTTTACAAGGTAGTAAATGTATAAACTCTCTTTGGGTCTTTTTGTAGCCCTAATTATTTCATTTCCAGTGGCTTTCATGAGTATTATTGTGATTCCTAAAATTGTGCTATGATTCTTGCCATGAACCAGAGGGACAGCGAGGAGTATCAAGCTGCCAGCAAGCTGTGGGTCATGTATTTGCAGACGAGGAATGACTTTTTGCAGAGCGGAGATGGCGAAGACGATGACGAGGATGGGGAGGAGATGATGGATAACCCAGGGGTGTCAACAGAAGATGACGTCAGTCTGGTGACGCATTGTTTTCAGCCTAATGTCATGTGCATGTATTCACTGTCCAAATTTAAAGCAAACATACATTTCTCTTGTTCATATCTATGTCACACACTGTAAAACTGAGCTTCAGACCAACTAGTGGTAATGGCATTTTATTTTATTTTTTTTATCATGGTCCCCCAGGCGTCCTCCAGCAGTTTAAAGGAAGTGTTAGAGCAACTCCTAGCCGCGGTGGTTTTGTACACTGACCCATCGGGTCATGTGGTCAGTAAACTCTTTGAGAAGCTGCCTTCCAAATTGGTAAGTATTGATTGATTTCTCAAATGATTTCTTTGTTACCAAGTCAATGTAACTGCAGTCTCTCATGCTATTTTCGGTTTCTTTGATAGCATTACCCGGACTACTATGCTGTGATAAAGGATCCCATTGATCTGAGAACAATCGCTCAAAGAATACAGGTAGCTACATTTATCCCTTTCTTCCAAAACGTTGTGGCTTCTGATCTAATGCTTTTTTAATAAAGAAATACATAAATAAACTTGGAAAGAGAGCGACCCAAATCAACCTTACACGCTACAAGAAGTGCTTTCTTTACCACAGAGTCTCGTTCCTATAGCAGCGACATAACCCGCGTGTCAGAACGTGCCTTAGGCGTGACGCGGTCGAACCCAAGTCAGCTGTCGTTCGGTTTTCACGACTGGCCAACTGAAGGCCACTAGTCACAGAAATAAAAAACGGCGAGTACAACGCTGACTTGCTATCTTGTGCTGCACCGTTCGTAACCTAGAAATCTTGAATGTTTTATTTTTATCTGAAATGCAAATAACTACCGGTAAATATTTTTTTCTTGACTTAAAAAAATGACATTATAATGTGTGAATATTTTTGTGGGGACAAATGTTGATATTGAATAAAATTATAAAAGGGAAATGGAATTTCTGAGGCTTCATGTTGAAAAATTAAAATAGTTTCCCAATTCCAACAACATATTCAAATATAGCAGACAAAGTTTCACAAATGACCTGAATGTGCACCGCCTTTGATGCAACACGTTAAGTCCTTTTCCTGCCAAATGCGTGTTTTGTGTAACATTCTCCAGCACCTCAGTGAGGTTAGCCACCTAAGCTTGGAGGAAGAGGGAGATGTAAACCAGTCCCATAAGGAGAAGAAAAAAGTTAAGACGAGTGTTTGGCTGAGTTTAAGCATATTCAAATACACACAATGCCTTTTCGTAGCTACCCAAAAGAAAAATAAGCGCATGACCTTAAATTGAGTCCGGTTTTACACATCTTGTTAAAAATTGATATAATTTGAGTGAGAATTGGCTACATTAATATACCGCAAAACGATGACAATTTTTTGGGGACACCCTATCCTGCATACTACCGGTAGTAATCATGCCCGAACCTAAATATGTACCTGGTTCTCTCTGCTGTTCCAATTTAGAAAACAAAAAATGCATTTGTTTTTCAAAACTCTTCATTTTTCTCACTTGCTCAGATGGGGTACTATAAAAGTGTCAACGCCATGGGTAAGGACATCGACCTCATGGCCAAAAATGCTAAAACATATAATGAACCCGGATCTCAGGTTTTTAAGGTATGCCCTTTTTTTATGTATTTAATTTTTTTTATTTACTCCTGAGCCACATAACAATCAAGTTGTTGAAACAATATGTTGTCATATTATAGGATGCAAACACCATAAAGAAAGTGTTCATCCAGAAGAAAACGGACCTGGAACACGCTGAACCCACTAAATCGAGTCTTCGCATCAGGTAATTTAGTATTTATTTCCAAACAATGGCATTAAAATAGTTCTGTCAAAAAAATTGCTGTTGGATGTTACACACAAGGCAAAAATGCACTACATTTGCATGCAGCATCTAGAATATTACAGTATTGCCTCTTAGTGTCCAGTCAGACTGAATCATTTTAACTCTGATTGACTTTTCCTTAAAAGTTTTTGAATCAATGTTGAGTTGTAATTCTCTGGGCCAAGTTTTTTTTTCTTCTTCTTTTCCCTTAATAAGAAATCGCAGATCTGGTCAGGGAGAGCGACTTTCTGGCGTCAGCGTAGCTCTTCAGTATGGCTCTGAGAGTGAGGATGACCCTGTGCTCTCCGGTAAGTGTCATTGGGCAACACCGACAGTTGGGAAAAAAAAATCCTTCCACAAGAGCATCCAACCATTCCAAATGTTCCGTAGGCTCTGTGTGCTATGACGAAGGCGAGTCGGAGGCTGAGAGTCAGAGTTCGAGCATGGAGATGAGCAACCCCATCTTCCAGCTTTATGAAGCCGTGCGAGGAGCGAGGAATAGCCAGGGCCAGCTGTTTTCCGAACCCTTCCAGAATCTGCCCTCCCGCAGGGAATATCCCGACTATTACCAGCAGATAAAACAGACCATTTGTCTGCAACAAATCAGGTACAGATTGTAAATGCATTTCGAAGCAAATTCAAGGTGTCTTTGGTTTACTACATACAGTATCTCACGAGACATTTTAGTGGTGGAAACAATGCACAATAAACTGCAATGGTGCGTTGACTCACTCTCGCAGACACACTCGATACTACATTTGTCTGTTTTTTTTAAATGACGCCGTCGACCTCGAAAGTGCCTTGTAGCTCTCTGTCTCATTCCTGCTAACTGCCATGACCACCGTTTGTCATTTGTGACACACTGATGTGTTCCGACTCCAAATTCAGGTGACGCTAGTGCTCTACGAACAGAACTCTGTCGTCAACAAAGGATCCATCCCTTGTACAGGGATAAGCGTCCTTTCTTTGGTGGCATTTCTTTCCCTTAATTGTAGGACAAAGATGAAGAATGGTGAATATGAAAATGTGGAACAAATGGATGCCGACCTCACTTTGATGTTTGAGAATGCAAAGCGATACAACATGCCCAACTCGAGCATTTATAAACGGGCCCTCAGGCTTCAGCAGATTTTGCAGGTAATAATTTATTGTGTCTTCCCTTGTGCTGCGTTTCGTTTTGCACAAGATCTTAATAATTCAGTGTTGCCTTTTTTTTTTCCCAGGCAAAAAAGAAGGAGCTTCAGAGAAGAGACGATGAGGATGGTGACAGTTTGCTGTCATCTGATGCAGGCAGTACCAAGAGAAAAAGGTATCAAGTCATTTTCTCCCCACCTCTACCATTTAATCATTGGTGTGTGTTGCTGTTTCCTCATTTGATTCCATTCTATTTTTGAAGTCACAAGAAAAATATTAAAAAGAACCGAATGAAAGCCCTGTACGCTGCGGTGACGGACGCCAGGGAAGTGGGCACCAGTCGCCGCCTTTGCGATCTTTTTATGGTGAAGCCATCCAAGAAGGACTACCCCGACTACTACAAGGTTATCCTGGAACCTATGGACCTGAAGACCATTGAGAACAACGTCCGCACCGAGCGCTACGCCACGGAGGACGCGCTGATGGATGACATGAAGTTGATGTTCCGCAATGCCCGCCATTATAACGAGGAAGGGTCTCAGGTAGGAGATGTGAAGTATACGGGACGAAACTATTAATATCAATGTCATCGGTGCTCTCATCAAATAAATAAATAAATAAAAATTGTCTCGCCATAGGTGTACAACGATGCTGACATCCTGGAGAAGATACTTAAAGATAAACGCAAGGAGTTGGGACAGCCACCGGATGAAGAGGATGTGAGCTCTCCCAAACTAAAACTGAGTAGGTTTTATTTGCATTATTTTTTTAGTTTTGTTTTTAAATCCGTATGTAAACATGTTCATTGACTCTTAATAGGAGTACAGAGGCGTGATCGCCTCCAACAACAGTGTTATCTTTTCATCAATTTGATTTGTGATTGTTGATTTGTTTAAGATGTAAGATGATCCTTTTGTTGGTCGCACAGGTTTCGATGTAGTGTAAAAAGTTATGTAAGGAGATCAGTAGGATTGGCATTGCTGTCACATTCCAAAAATGACACACTTAATTCTTTCATTCCACAAGACGTACTTTTAAAATTAGGCCCCTCCTACCAAGGACGTACTTGTACATCTAAGTCTTTGTTTTGCGTCATAGAGAGGGGGAAGGCCTGATGCAATCTGTGTATGAGAATAAGCCGCTTGCATTGTTAATCATGTAAAAAAGCGACCAGTAGGTGGCAGTGGTGCCTCACGTGCTTGAAATGCATGCTTTTACAAAAAGCTCTTTTTCTCCGTTTTTTGCCCAGGAATCGCCATTTTCATGAAACTTAGACATTTTGTAATGCCGATTGCTGAAGAATGGAAAAAGATAGAAACATTTTTTTTTCTGCCAAAAGAAAAGAGTCTTTATTTTGGTAGGCTCCTTGTTTATATAGCATTAGAACCAAATATTCTGTGGGCCTTGCAAGATCAGTCAAAATACAGTAAAACGCTGGGATTGAGGGGGGTTGCTCCAGTGAAAGTGGCTCGGATTGAATGAGTTAATGGTTCTTATACACCATTAACAATTTAGTGTGGACAATTTTGTTGCATTAACCTGTCAGTGGCGTAAATTCAGTTACCGGTAGTTAAACAGACATGGATTTTCAGATCAAATGTTATCACAGGATACAATGCAGTTATTGCTCATCGAGCAGGCACACTGTCTCCATACATGACTTTTTGATTTATGTCTGTTGTAACAACGTCATGTCTGTTTGTACGTCTAGTTTGTACATGTCACTAGATAAATTACAGTGAGTAGAACAAAAGTCAATGTCAAAAACTGTTCGCTTGGGCTCCGCATTCCCTCAAGGCTGTTTTGGTGCACTGGTCATTGACTCTTCATGTATTTCTGTATTTTTCCAGGAAAGAGTGGCATTTCTCCAAAGAAAACCAAATACCTCACCCCACTACAGCAGAAGTTGAACGAGCTCTACGACGCCGTGCGCAACTTCACTGACCGCCGCGGCCGCCGCCTGAGCACCATCTTCCTGCGTCTGCCGTCTCGCTCCGAGCTGCCCGACTACTATGCTACCATCAAACGACCCATCGACATGGAGCGCCTGCGCAGCCACATGGCGGCGGGACGCTACCAGGACGTTGAGTCCCTTGCGGAGGACTTCACTGTCATGTTCAACAATGCTTGCATGTACAATGAGCCCGAATCGCTCATCTACCGGGATGCTCTCGTCCTGCACCGGGTGCTCCTGGAGACACGCAAGCAGCAGGAGGGAGGGGAGGATTCTGGACCGCCTGCTGTGGGAACTCTGGTGCGTGAAATGATTCGGAACCTGCTGGTGTCAGTTCTCGGCCACCAGGATGAAGAGGGCCGATGCTACAGTGACTCGCTGGCCGAAATTCCCGCCATGGATCCAGACACCCCAGAGAAGCCTCCGCTAAACTTTGACATAATCAGAGGGAATGTGGAGCGTGGCCGCTACAGGAGACTTGATGTCTTCCAGGAGCATGTGTTTGAAGTGCTGCAGAAGGCCAGGAGGCTGCACAGGTACATTTTCCTGAGCTGTCTTTTCAACAAGTTAGGATTTGTCAAATACAGTAAAACTAAAATGTTTGCTCACATCTCTTCAGGCCAAACAAATTATTTAAATACCAATCTAAAGATCTATATCTAATGTAGAATTTAGTACAGTGGTCCCCAAACTACAGCCCACCTCCACATTTTGCCCGGCCCCACTGAACAACATCAGACGCATGATCATTTTGTTTTTCAGTCTGGCCATGTGGTCGAGACTTGTTACGTGCATAGAATGTATTGAAATCATTCCGTGAACTGTTCTTCAGAAATCCTGCAGATGAAGCTACCTAATTGTTATATATATATATATAAAATTGTGTTCTGTAAGTGACTTTCGGGTGACTGATTTATTGCCTGGTGTGCCTTTTGCAGGACCGACTCTGAGGTATTCGACGATGCAGTGGAGCTGCAGCAGTTTTTCATCAAGATCCGGGATGAGCTGTGCAAGAACGGAGAGATTCTACAGACCACCGCACTCAACTACACCTTGAAACACTTGCACAACGACGTGGAGCAGGAGAAGAGGGAGAAAATACCCAAAGAAATTGAGGAGGATAAAGACAAGGACGAGCCGAGCAAAAGTATGCGAGACACAACACGAACACATCGGCAGCATGTTGATTTGATCCTCAAAATCAAACTCTTTCTTCATGTTCTCTTCAAAAAAAAAGGTCTAAAGGAGAAGAACCTGCAAAGTGAAGTATGGCGGCCCGAGTCGCATACAGATCTCACGTACCAGCAACAATGTACCTTTGAAAGCGCCACATACCAGGTGGGGGAGTATGTCTATGTGCAGCCATCAGAGGCCAACTTGAAGCCTCACATCGTCTTGGTTGAGCGTCTTTGGGAGGATGACCAAGGTTACTCCATTTTTTTAATCAATCCTTTTGGGACCATAAAATGAATGTGATCGACACACAATGGCTATGAAAAGTCTACACATACCTGCTCAAATGCCAATTTTTTTTCCTGATGTAAAAAAAAAAAAAAATCAAACAAAGATAAAGGATTTTTGAAAAGATATATTAAACAAAGACCAAAATAAATCACCCAAAAAAACTGACATTTGAACACGTGTAGACTTTTTTTTTTAAATCCACCAGCTAAATTTGTTTGTGTGTATGCAGGTGAGAAGTGGCTCTATGGCTGCTGGTTTTACAGGCCGAGAGAAACCTTCCACATGGCCACTCGCAAGTTCCTGGAAAACGAGGCCTTCAAGAGTGACTACTACAACAGAGTGTCCTTTAGTAAAGTCTTGGGCAAATGTGTCGTCATGTTTGTGAAGGTAAGCCTGAAACGCAAAGAGAATTTCCTCTTGATTTCTGCTGAAGCCACTCATCAAGCTTGTCTGACAAATGCAGGATTACTTCAAACTCCAACCGGAGGGCTTCAAAGCCGAGGACGTGTATGTTTGCGAATCCCGATACACCGCCCGGTGCAAGCTGTTCAAGAAGATCAAGATATGGGCCGTGCCTCCAAGCCCCGTCAAATATGTCCCACGAGACGTGCCCCTGCCCGTCGTCCGCTTTGCGTCCGTGTTTGCTAAGCCAGACCTGGAGAAACTTGAGAAAATCTCCTTTGTAGACAGCAGCAGTTTTGTGGACAAGGTGAGCTTTTAACTTTCCTGTTTCTGAGATCTGAGCTTTTTTTGCTGATGCGGCTGCTCCTGCTAAATCTAAAGGTAACTCGTATTCCCTTTTTTGCATAGCTTTCTACAAGTCTTGATATTCCCTCGATGCTGCAGTCTTTTAGCATCAGTGCCGAACAGCCACCCTGAGCCTATCTGTCGGGTTATGACAGGAACAATTTAAGGGACACAACAGACATATTATTTAAATACATTGATTTTAGCTTCTCGCGTTTGCTCCCATTTATCTGCGAACAATATGGGTGTAAAGGAGACAGGGGGGCGGCCACATAAATTTTTCAAGACAAATGTTCACTGGACTTAATGAAGTGGCTGTATGTATTTGACAGATTGTGAGCTATTTAGCCTGAGGTATGAAAGAGAAGGGCTATTAAGTCATGAGTGTGTATATTTAATCTTTTAGGAGAGGGAGGATGTCCCCATGGAGGTGAGCGGTGCAGACCCGGGCTGGCAGTACTACGAACAGTTGCGCTACAACAACGTGTGGTTCAAAGTGGGGGACTGCGTTTACATCCAGTCACATGGCCTTTCCAAGCATCGGATTGCCAGGTAAAACTGTTTGAATATTTTTGTTTTTATTGATCTGCTTGTGTGTGTCATTTTTGACCATCGCTCCGTTCGATTGGGGTGTAGGTTGGAGAAGCTTTGGGTGCAGAATGGAACCACTTTCTTCTTTGGGCCCATCTTCATTCATCCAGAGGAGACTGCGCATGAGCCCACAAAGATGTTTTACAAGAGAGAAGTGTTTCTGAGTCACCTGGAGGAGACGTTGCCCATGACATGCGTTATAGGTGCTGTTCTCATTCCTGACAAAGACAGTCCTATCAATCATGTGCCCGTTTTCCCTTTTAATTGTTTCGCTTATCGACCTTGTGTTTGTTGTCTCAGGCAAATGCATGGTGTCCTCGTTCAAAGACTACCTGTCATGCAGACCTACGGAGGTTGCAGAAGAGGATAATCTTCTTTGCGAGAGCCGCTACATAGACTCTGAGAAACAGGTGAAAAAGTTCAAGGGGCTGAAGCGCTTCTCATACTCCTCTAAAGTGGCGGAGGACGAGGTCTATTATTTCAGGCGAGTCTGTTTTTACAAAGCGGTAGTGATTCAAAGCACAACCGGTACAAGGCTGAATTTATTGAGTTGTCGTCTGCAGGAAATTAATAGTTCCACAGAAGGAAGCGTCTCCTTTTTTGAATAAGAAGATCGACGAGCTTGAGGTGAAACTAGCAGATGTCGAGGATGGAGATGACGACATGGATGAGATGGACGATGATGATGAGGGCATGGAAACGCCTTCGATACCTCAGATGCAGACCTCTCTCACCAGCGATATGGACGGCATGCCTTACACACCTTCTCAGGTATGCATTCACACAACTAAATATTCCAATACAGTGTCAAGAAGTACACATTAAACTGCCGAAACACTGTCTTTGTAATTGCAGTCCACACCAAAGATTAAAGGCTTGTCAAAGAAGGAAGGTGCCAAAAGGAAGATCAACATGAGCGGCTACATCCTATTCAGCAGTGAGATGCGGGCAGTCATCAAAGCTCGACACCCGGACTTTTCTTTCGGTGAACTGAGTCGTCTGGTGGGAACCGAATGGAGGAACCTCGAAGCCGTCAAGAAAGCAGACTATGAAGGTGAACCCGCAGGAGATTGCGTCAACTCCTGATCCTGAATTGTGGTGAGGACGTGACCATTTGCGTTTTATCACAGAACGGGCAGCCAAAATCGTGGAGCAACAGGAACGGGATAGGCCAGCCCTGAAGCAAGCGTCCCCGAGATCAGGTACCCCCTTAGGGTCACTGATGGGGGTCGTGCCTTCGCCTAGCACTTTGGGCATGATAAACCAGACCATGACACCTATGTCAGGTAACCCCTCTCAGACACAGCACGAGTGTTTGACCACACGGCAGCAAGAACATGAGACAGGACGATTTAAAAAGTCTTTAACCTTTAGAAACAATGCATCCGTGCAAAAGCATCTTGGTTTTATTTTGTTGTTTTTTTTTAATTGTTTAACATTTAACACCTTTATTCTCACTAGCTTCTTGTTTACAACCGCATGACCGTGACATTGCATGAATAACCTGTTTGAGTGTAAATCTTCCATTCTTGTTTTGCCTGCTAACACTCATTTATTACTCTAGTCCCTTTCACGCACAGAGCTTGTAGTTTTTCATTAGGAGGCCCTTGATGATTTATTTTTTTTAATGTGGAAATTTGACAAATTGAATGTTTTTAAAATTCTGGTGGTCACTTTTAGGCTCACAGTTTTTAAGACTTGACCCCAATTCTTCAATTTGTCGTATGATCGCTGGTTATGAGGATATCCTCGTTGATAAAATGCTTATCAAGGCGCAAATAAATCTGTGATAGCTAATGGAGTGATTGTGCTATACTTTGGCTTGGTGCTATTTTCCAGATGGCAAATATATACGGTATTCACTGTCACCTTCAAACTCCCCAAACATTGTTTGCAGTTCAACCAAAGTATTGTGGAAACTATTTATTTTACCTCACAGTTCCAGATACATTTAATGGTGATTGTTCAATAATGATTTTTTTTTTAAATAATTAAAAATAAATTAATTTAAAAAATGAGCTCAAGAGATTGCCTGCCCATACTCGTGTGTTCGTGAGGCCTCTGGGTGAAAGGGGCTGAGTGTGTGTTACGGTATTCACTGTCACCTTCAAACTCCCCAAACATTGTTTGCAGTTCAACCAAAGTATTGTGGAAACTATTTATTTTACCTCACAGTTCCAGATACATTTAATGGTGATTGTTCAATAATGATTTTTTTTTAAATAATTAAAAATAAATTAATTTAAAAAATGAGCTCAAGAGATTGCCTGCCCATAGTGGTGTGTTCGTGAGGCCTCTGGGTGAAAGGGGCTGAGTGTGTGTAATGGTAGTGCATGTCATCATAGTCAGCTGCATGTCACTTATGCATGAATATGTTGTCATCCTCTCCTCGCCCTCTTCCCCCAAGGCATGATGGGAGCTTACGGGCCACCTTACATGCCCTTGCAGGGCCCGCATGAGGGTTTGTTGAGTGTGGCCCCAATGTCACCTTACCAAGCAGGGGGACCTCACCTACCTCCTCACCATCTCCAACAAGGTGGTATGCCTGGGTACCCGGGCATGCTTCATCATGGTAAGGGTTTACTTATGGCAGCCACGCCTGATCACTTGTGGGCTTCGTCTGCTCCACGTGACGGGTTGGGGCACATACTGTCCATTCACAGTACTGACGCATGTGACAACACTGGTGCTACTAACATTGAGCTATATGTTCGAACATTCTTTTTTTCGGTTTCTTCTAAAAGGTACAAGCGCCATTGTAATTCTTCGCCATAGAGTAACAATTCTTCCTTAATAGGCATGATGGGCGCTGCTGTGAACGGCATGCAAGGAAGTCCTGCTCCAGGGGGCTTCATGCAGCAGGTGAGCCACAAACAGTTGTCCATGTTACACTGCCCCTAAGGCCTGCCGTGTGAAGAAAACTCAAAACTGGTAGAAAACTCTTATGGCACACCACCAAAACAACATCCAAAAAGTATCGCTTCTTAAAGAAATAATGGTTTTACACATGAAGCGTACCTTCTGCCATTTGCAGAAGAGCATTCACGATGCGCGGCTGGTATACGTGGATGAGCAAAGATTTTGCGGCTTTATTTGCATACAAATAACTTGGAGTGGCGCAGAATTTATCATGCATCTCGTGATCTGGTGGTGGCATGTTACACTGCTGGCGGAAACATGTGAAGATCTTATGCGATGCGGCAGTTTTTGCAGGATTTCTGTGTAAAAGGGGTTGATGATGGCCCCACAACATTCAGGCACACCTTCAAATGTTGATAGTAATAATGCTTTTCTTAATGATTTGCATTTATACAACTGCGGATGCTGTAGTGACCTGTGAGCAAAATGAAGTTGTCCCACCAGCAATTTTCACACAGACTCATATTAATAGAGTGACATTTCCGAGTTAAAAAAAAAAAAAAAACACTTTTTCTTTCGATTTCAGCCAGGGATGTTCAGCCCAGGACAGCATGCTCCCCCACCCTACCCAGGACAGGGCCAGACCCCGCCCATGTTTGTCGCACCACCGCCGAAGACTCAGAGGGTGCTGCACTCGGAGGCCTACCTGAAGTATATTGAGGGCTTGAATTCGGACTCCAGCACGGTCAGCAAGTGGGACCAGACACTGAAAGGTTCGAAAGTATGCGACTTTTGACAACTTCTTTCAAATGATTTTGACTATTTGCATGTACCTTTCAATCGACACAAATCTAATATGGCTGTGTTAACTGTTCTAATGATTTCCAAAAATCATTTAACATGTCAGAGGGATAAAACTATAACAATAAAAAAAAACAACTTGCATGTCTAATACACATCTGGTTTTCAGCCACATCTGGGAGAGGCCTGATTCCAACCTGACTATACCGATTCCATGCTTTTTATTTTTTGCCCTCTTCTCCCCCATTACACTGCATTGAACCATATCCCAATTACATCACTTGAATTATGCATTAGAAATCCTGCCTTAATCACTCGAATCCCAAACTTGTCTCCACAACAGCTAAAAGGCGAGACGCTCACATGACCAAAGAGCAAGAGAGCCGGCTGCCGACTCACTGGTTGAAGAGCAAAGGAGCCCACTCCACAATGGCGGACGCGTTGTGGCGTCTGCGTGACCTGATGCTGAGGGACTCTCTAAACATTTGTCAAGCATACAACGTGTGACGTGTAGGGCTCGCACCACTTCTAACCACACCTTAGGCTTAAACTTGGAAAGGAACTGTAGATGCTAGAAGCAATATTTTATAGCAATCGCTAACCAATTTTATATTTATTAGTAATTATGATGAGCTAAATCGTTGTTTGTGCATTTTCATTTTTTTTTACTCTGCTGATTAATTTTGCTGCAAAACAAGTGTTTTGGCTTATTGGTACTGTTAAAATGAACTTATAAATACTATTTAATGATGAGTACGGCAGTTGTTGCTGTGGCGAGTGGAACGCAAATGTACAATACTTCCTCAAATGGATGCCTTACCCCACTGGAATAAATGAACATCACACCTCAAATAGACCCCTCCCCTCCTTTGAGAACAGGAAAGTGGCTCCACCATACTACCTTTTCTTTGACATCTTCCACCCTAATGTGTCATGGTTGTCTTTTTCACGGGGGAGGCGTGCTATTTGTAAACCTGGCAATGAAGTTTAAAATAAGAGTGTTGAAATGTTCAGGGGAGGGGGGGTGGGGGACAGAAGCCTCTTGTGTCATAGTTGTCATTACCACAGCACCATGACATCTGTAAAGCTGACTACAGTTTAAACCACACGTGCTTGTGTTCGCACTGTGGAATATTGGGAAACAAAATGTGTGAAATGATCCAACATTAAACTGAAATGAAAATTGGGTTGGGGGAGAAAAATCTCCATGTGTTGTTTCCATAGTAGATTTGACAGATGTAATATTAGCAGATAACATCTTAAATCTAATAAAGTCTTAATACACGATAGTTGGTTCAATAAACTACAGACGCTGTTTGGGATGTTGGGTCTCGCCTCACATGGCTGCTATATTTTGGTAACATTTCCTCTTAACATTACGTCACGTCCTGAAGCCGTCTCAACATCGAACCATTCTCTTTAGTGTTTGCCCTGTCTCTCCCATGTCTGCTTGTCCACCGCCCACGATTTGATTTAAAAATTACATAAATGAGCCCTTGAAACTGGCCATTTAGTAACTTAGACAACACCTAACCAGTGTGTCCTATTGAGCGGCTTCAAACCTGACAGGAGAACGCAAAGGTGAGGCTTTGTATTGTACAGACTTCTTCGAGGCTAATGTAGCAAAGCTAGCACTTTCATCGAATCTCTGATGGGGGAGAAAACGGAGAATACTCTCTTACCTGTGTGGGGGAAAAATGTCAGCTGATTTAGCTGTTGGGATGCTTGTTCATCCTTGCGTCGAAGCAATTGACTTGCGTTATAATGTGATAAATTCCACATTCGACAAAGGGTCTGAAGTGGTTACCTGCATTAGCAAAGGACGCTAGTTATCTCGGATGTGGTCTGTATGGAGAGCACCACTCACCTGGCGGCCTTATTTCTACACAGACTCAATATATATTTCTTGTCGTGTAATGCATGTTTGTGCAAGGACGTTTCAAATGCAATTAATCGAAATTGCATTTGAAAGGTTTTCTGGCGAGATCGCTGTGTAGCCCTCCTACTCAATTAGTTAAAATATAGCCGAAGTCAACAAATTTCTGTTCTATCACCCATGAAGGGTTTGTGTGTTAGTGTATAATTAATAGAGCTTTTCGGGAAACAAATTAGACTTGAACCCCTCCCATTTGTGCACCTCTGCTGAGAAAACAAGTAGGTCTTTGTTTGAGTGGAAACCTTTAAGTATGTGTGCGTCTAAACGATGGATGGCGTGACAATTTAAAACCACGTTGAATTCCAGTCGTTCTCCGTTCGTGTGAGTTCATATGTTGCACTACAATGGTGCAAAATCTATCAAGTGTTAAGATTCAAAAAGTCGACACAATTTAGTTGGGTTTTCTGGCTGTACACACATTTTAGTTGTTACTTGTGGCCATGCCACTTCAAGTACTGTTTATTGAAAATTCAATTTTCCAGCCCAAATGTCGTCCGCATTCTATGACATCTCATCTCCTTCATAATTGTCTTACGTCTCTCAGCTTCTTACAACGAAATACCCTCATATGTGGTCAAGGTTGACGCAGTTGTTTTATTCCCACGATTATTAACGATGCATATTCATTCCAGAGCTGCTATTGGCTACAACTCACGCCCTGTCGCTTACTTGGGCCAATTTCCAAGCTTTGCTCATTCATCTTTGCTGATTCTGACAAATGCCAGTAATCAGGCCCCCTCCGAACAGCCACACTCAATAATTTACAATACAGAGACAGAAAGAGTTGCGATTTGGGATTTTGTGTGTGTGTGTGTGTGTGTGTGTGTGTGTGTGTGTGTGTGTGTGTGTGTGTGTGTGTGTGTGTTTTGTTGTGGAGCCCTCAGAGACAGGGGTTTGGTAAAGGGGAGGGTAGTGTAATGTCTGTAACCGTATTGGCTGTTAGGGGCAGGCTTGATGATTGGCGGTTGTGACATGAGCAAAGATGAAACAGAACCTGCTCAAATTAGTCAGTCTGCGTTTGTACGTCTGCGAGTACCATGGCTGGGACGTAAGTTGAAGCGGATAGCAGGTCTGAAATGAATGTGCATTCTCTTACCGCTCGTGGGAATAAAGCAACTGAAGTGCATCCTTGACCACGTCCAATGGCGTCACACGAGCTTTGAAACATTTTTTCCCAGCATTAAATTGCACCAATCCATGCAGGTGATTCGTAGTGTTACAATACCAAAATTCAGACTCCCATGATATGTCTGCAAAAAGTACCTCTCAATACTAGTCTTGAAACCATACCACGGCCAAAACCTAAACATCAGTAAAAGCAGTGCAATAATAGCTGAGAAAAAACTTCACATTCTCTTTATTTTAATTAATTCAACTTATTACAGTATTAGGCTTTGCCATCTCTGTCGGCTTGCGACAGGCGTTCGGCCATACAGGCAAAATATTTCCAGATGACCCTGCTTGTGTCTGGAAGTTCGCCAGCAGTGAGAAAGTTTATAGACCTCGCTTGTTTATTTCTTCATCTTGCACACATGCTGAGGAAAAAGTGCTGCCGATTTCAGACACATATTTGGAGAGCACTGTTGCTGCACTTGTTCATTTATTTATTTTTAAAATGAGACCCTGTGATTCCATTCATGTTGTCTGTTTCCTAGCAGCAGTTAAAAGTCACTGCTCCTGACAAACTTGAATTCGGCAATTAAAATCGATGGTTGTACAGTTTTATCATATACTGTATTAAAAGTGTTATTAGGTTAAATGTTTTGGGAGCTTTCCTTGCAGTCCCAATAAGGTTTAAGGTTATATTTGTTTCAAGACTCTAATGCTCTTGTGCACCCTAATTTTACGCGAGAGGTTTCTACTGTGATCTTGTTTCTCATTTGTACAACAGTGCTCACCGATCCTCTTGTCTATCAACAGTTCCCCTATCATTGCTACACTGAAAAGTTTCCAATCAAAGCCCCCCCGCTGATAAACCCAGAACAGCAGGGATGTCCCAGCTCCAGTTCCACTGTCCGGCGAGTCCCATGCCCGCTGCCCCTGCCCCACGGCAACTGGGGCAGCCTCAGCTGAGGCCATCTTTCAGCATCCCCTGCGCTACGAGCACATTGGCGTCGGAGAGCGCCGGCCAGCCCGTCAGGAGCTCAGCTCTCCCTGCGGGCTCAGCCACTCCCTACAGTACCATCACAGGTGTGTTTGTTTGTTCGCCGTTTGCTCACAAAGCTGTACTTTTGTTTGAAGTGATCCATGAAATAAACACAATATTGATTGTGTGATTTTTGACATTTTAAAATTTGAAGTAATATTTTCCTTCACTTATTATTGAGGCATTTCGGAATATCCATCATGAAAAATCCAAATGGGAAAAAACATTGTATGCCAAGAAGCCTTTAATCCTCAACAATCTAAGGTCGAAGGTTAAATTCAATAGTTTTGTGGTATACTTCAACTCCCCTAAAACTCCAATTCAAGTATGCTTCGAAGATGGACAAATTCAAGAATATTTGACTTCAAATGTTCCACTGTGTTCGCTGCGTTACTATTAGTCCATTTCTGAAGTTTTTGTAAGATGCTGAATTTTTTGGGGGGATTTTCCAGTATCTAACATGGCAAACCCTAAAGAGAAGACCCCCATGTGTTTGGTGAATGAGTTAGCCCGTTTCAACAAGCTCCAACCTGAATATAAGCTACTGAGCGAGCAAGGACCGGCTCACTCCAAAGTATGTTGGGAGAATCTTTCACTTCATTTCTTGATTATTATCGTATGAAGGGAGAGCTTACGATGTACCTTGTCCCCATCAGATTTTCTCAGTGCGGCTCACCCTGGGAGATCAGCACTGGGATGCCGAGGGGACCAGCATCAAGAAGGCTCAGCATTCCGCCGCTACGTCTGCCCTGGCTGAGACTGTACTTCCAAAGCCCACCATCAGGACACCACGCAACATAGGCAAGAACTCAGGTCGGTGCCTCCCAGTACTCTCATGGCAGATAAATCGTTTGCTGTAATGCTCAGTCTTGCTTTTCTTGTATGTGGCAGATGGTATGATTCAAATCATGGAGTTGAACGCATTGTGCTCAAAACTTAGTAAAAAGCCCATATACAAACCCATCGACCAATACCCAATGAGACCGCCACACATGAGTTATGGTGTCCGTGTTGCGGGGCCCTATCAGCGCTCTATGCAACAGTAAGTTTGGCCCATTTTTAATTTTATTCGCCTGTCGATTATTGAATTTGTTTTTAAAAAAAATGCATCGTGAATTGTGCGTCCAGTTACTACTACCCATTTGCTCCCATGGGACCAATGATCTACCACATGGAACTTTCCATCGGAGGCCAGCAGTTTATCGGGAAGGGACGCACGCGGCAGCTCGCCAAGCAGGACGCCGCCATCAAGGCCCTGAAAGTGCTGCAGAGGGAGCCCATATTGCAGCAAATGTCAGAGGTGAGAGGCTTGCGCTCACCATTCCTGTTGACCAATTGAATCGATATTCATTGCTTTTTCTCTCTCTCTATCGCAGGTGAACGAAGAGCCTGAAGAAGAAAACCTCAACAAGTCAGAAATCAGTCAAGTGTTTGAAATTGCACTGAAGCGCAACCTGCCTGTAAATTTTGAGGTATCGCTCATTTTAACCGAAGGCTCATTAGAAACATGTTGGCTGGGCTTTTCCCAACTGTCGACATCACTGCGTTATCCAGGTGTTAAAAGAAGAAGGTCCGCCGCACATCAAGAGCTTCGTGGTGCGCGTTGCAGTGGGAGAGTTCACCGGAGAGGGCGAGGGGAAGAGTAAAAAGATCGCAAAGAGGTTGGCAGCTGCCGCTGTGCTCGGCGACTTGAAGAGGCTACCTCATATACCCAGCATGGAGAAGACGCTGCCACGCATCAAGAAGAAAACCAAATCTATTATTAAGGTACTCCTGAAATGTTGCACATTTAACAGTTCAAAAAGGACATTTGGGAAACTGATTTTTTTTTTTTTTTAAATAAATGCCTCCATTAACCATGGCCTAAATGTGGCAGATATCCTAAATCCACTAAATGGGAAACCTCTGCCAAGTAGTGTAGTTACTGTGTACTTGCATTGCTTCAAGGCTGTGACAACATTCTTCAAGATGAAAAAAAAAAGTGTTAAATGGAAATGAATCCAAGTCAGTCTCATGCGTGGTGCCCACAGCTGCAGACCAGCCCGGAATACGGCCAGGGAATGAATCCCATCAGCCGTCTGGCTCAGATCCAACAGGCCAAGAAGGAGAAGGAGCCTGAATACAGCATGGTGACGGAGAGAGGGCTGCCGCGGCGTCGGGAGTTCATCATGCAAGTGAGTCCACGGCAACCCAAGCACTTATCAGTCCTCCCCTATGAGGACTTTCCACACTGTACTCGGTCTGCTTGGTGTTTTCCATGGGGCACGTTGTGGGGACGGCAGTGTCTCAGTGCAAGCTCGTCTATATTTGGAAGTGGTGGCTTAGCAGCCGACCAGGAATTTGCCCGCTGGGTGTGAAGTGGACCCCATTTTATTTCTCATTTGTCCTGAAGTTACTCTGCCAACCCCCTTTCCTAATGATCGCTCTGTCCGGTGTCACACCAGCAGCGCTGCTCCAGAATTGAGCTTTTTTCAGTTCAAAGCCCGGCGCCACAATTGGGAAACACCCCTCATGAGCGACGTGACGTGACACGGTGCATTTTGGTTTCGCCGTTGTAGCACATAATGAATGGTTTTGTCGGCAGCGCGCTGCAGTCCGCTAAGTGCAGTGTGTAAAGGCCTTGAGTCGTTTAGCGTTTTTCAACATGTGCTGCCTGCATGCTTTTTGTTATAGGTGAGAGTGTGCGGCCAGTCTGCGGAGGGCATGGGGCCGAGCAAAAAAGTGGCCAAGAAGAACGCGGCAGAGAAGATGTTGGAGTTGCTGGGATATAAAGTGCCTCAGCCTCAGCCCCCTAAACCGGCACTTAAAACTGACGAGAGGGTATTTGTTTGACCTTTTTTAGAGTCATACAAATGCATGTGAACTTGTTTGAATGTTTAATCTTCCATCTCTGTTGCTTGCGGAATCCTCAGACCCCTGTGAAAAAGCCTGGTGATGGACGCAAGGTGACATTCTTTGAGCCCGGCTCTGTAGAGGATGTGCCCCTGGGTGAGCGCTCATGGTTGGAATGTACAAATTGTTACTCCCTTCCTGTTTTAATTTAATCACATCCTCCGACATAATCTCGCAGGTTACAAGGAGGAGGAGTTCCGCCTGCCTTACTTGAGCCACCAGCAGCTTCCCGCGGGCATCCTTCCCATGGTGCCCGAAGTGGCTCAAGCGGTCGGTGCCTGCCAAGGACCACATACCAAGGACTATGCCCGGGCAACACCAAACCCAGGCAAGGCCACCGTCACTGCCGTGATTGCCAACGAACTGCTGTACGCCGGCACGTCCCACACGGCTGAGGCCATCCTCAAGAATAAAAGTATCCAGACGCCCCACGGTCCCCTCACCAGGCCCTCTGAACAGCTGGCTTACCTTGCGTCTGTGCAGGGCCTGCAGGTAGCCGTCTTCTTCACCACCTTCAACCACTCAGTCAGCTCAGCATTGTGTGATTAGCAGTAAGTGCGTTCATTTTCTGCTTGCAGGTGGAATATAAAGATTTCCCCAAAAATAATAAGAATGAGTTTGTATCGCTGATTAACTGTTCCTCCCAGCCACCGCTCATCAGCCATGGAATGGGAAAAGATGTAGAATCCTGTCATGATGTGGTAGGACAATCGCTGCATGATCTCATTTCTATTTCTTAACCATACTCAAACATTCACCATCATAAGGCTTTCATTTATTGTACACACAACGTTTAAGTAAACATTAGCACTCACAAGTGGAAGGAGAATTTAATTATCGTATTATAAAATTAACCTTAAGCAAAACTTGACTGGAGCTTGACAGACACATATCTCTACTGCTGTACATCATTGGCAAAAATAAAAATAAATAAGCGACCATTTTTTAAAATATAGATTTTTATAGTATACTTTCTGTAATACCTTTCCACGTGGGAAAGGAGAGCCAAATTCGTCTTGCACTCTTCAACCATTTTCAACACTTCTTTGAAAGAGGTTACATATTAACCAAGGAAAGTGGTGCTTTTAATTCTGCTTTGGCTTTACGTATTGCATTACAGTCTTCTTATGCTATTAACAACATACGTTATTTATAACAAGGTTCATTCCGGCACACAATATTGTTCAAAGGGTCGAGATGCTCGGGCCACCCTCATGCTGAACCTGCTGTCAGCTGCAGCTCACGACCCAGATACTCGCATGCCGACTTCACACATTATTCCACCAGGCCCCGCCTCTTAAAGTCATAGGCACGGCAATCTTGACAATGTCTTTTAAAAACTTTATTCAATAAGTTTCAGTATGTTGAAATCGTCGGGCATGGGTAAAACTGAGCAAAAAAAAAAAAAAAGTTCTTTGTTTTGTAGACATTCAGTTATCATGGGTGGGTCTCGAGCATATCCCTCGTAATAAACTTATCAACTTAACGTAGCGTCATCCTAGCTTTTCAGTGTCGCAAGAAATTTCGTTTGTGGTTCTTTGGTTATCAGCATTTTTTTCTTCTTCGCTCATTGTTCAACAAAAGCTCTGAAAAAAAAGACACAAATGATTCTTTTTCACCCCTACAGGCTGCACTTAATATATTGAAACTGCTGTCAGAGTACGACCAACTGTTAAATGAGCGGACAGGAAACGGAACAGTCTCTGGGTAAGCCGTCAATTTTTTTTTTTTTAGAAGACTTTCAGATTTTCAACATGGCCATGGAAACAACTTTTGCCGTTTTCATTAACTTGGACTTGTTTCCGACAGATGTGTGAAACAGGAGGTCGAGGGCGAGCTGCACCCCAAACCGGCTAACTCAAGCACACTGGCCCCGCCCCTGGACGGCAGCGTTTAGACCATCAGGTTGGCTAGACTGTAAAAGCACTCGAGAAAACTTGAAGACACTGCGTTCCAAGTCGCTGCAGGACATTTTTGGCGGCTGCCAGTCATGTTCACCGTTGCACCGTGTTCACAGTTAAACAAGATTGAACTGAACATTTTGGTTTTGCTCTCCTTGATGTTGTTTAATTGTACATTCTTTTGTTGCTCACAAGTGGGAGTAGCTGCATCCTGACCAGTGATTTGGGGCTCCAGTTGAAAATACAAACTGTGAATTATGTCCTGCTAACCATTGTTTTTAAGTATTATGTTTTATTACTTCCTTTAGGTTATTCATAAAAAAACGAGAAGCCCATTTTTTTTTTCACCTTTGTTTAGGGTGCAGCTTTCTGCAGTGCTCTCGCTCAAAAACCACCAGTGACGTGTTACCGACATTCGCCATGCAGGGCCAGGAAGAAAGAGTGTGTTACTTTAAATGTAGCGTGTGATGTAACGTGATGTTGTCTCCACTGTGCGTGGCAGAGCAGTCTTAACTCCCTTTCTCTCCTTTATGTCGGCCTCCCGTCTCTTTCTGCTCCTTATGGAAATAAACCTGTGTGTTCATGCGCACAAAACAAAAATCTGGTCAGTGGCTGTTGGACTCAAAAAAAAGTTTCCCTTTTTCTTTTTTTGTCCTTCATCAAAAAAAAAAAAAAAAAAAACGGCTTATATGATGTACTTATGTACTAGCGTAATTTTGGGAGGGAGTGTCCCCACACAAAAAGACTCACCGTGTGCTTGCTTCTCATACAGTCAGTGAGGAGTAGTCAAGATCCATCCATCCATCCATTTTCTGGTCCGCTTTATCCTCACAAGGGTCACGTGCTGGAGCCTGTCTTGGGGCAGTTTTCGGGGGACACCCTGAACCGGTTGCGAGCCAATCAAAGGACACACAGAGACGAAAAACCATCCACACTCACACCTAGGGACAATTTTGAGTGTTCAATCAGCCTACCATGCATGTTTTTGGAATGTGGGAGGAAACCGGAGTACCTGGAGAAAACTCACACAGGCACGGGGAGAACATGCAAACTCCACACTGGAAGGCAGGAGCCGGAAGCGAACCCGGTACCTCTGCACTGTCAGGTTGACGTGCTAACCATTGGTTCATCGGGCTGCTGAGGAGTCAAGATGATTACTTAAGAAAAAAAAAAAGCTTATCTGATAACAACCTTGTGTATGATACAAGATAATCTACAGATCCGTTTCACGTCACAATCTGTTTCTGTGGCCCATGAAAATGATCAACACCATTTTTCTTTTCAGTTTAGATCCTTTTTTCCCTCCTTTTAATATCACACTTGGTGCCTACAAATACACCGTGGGATTGGGGTGGCACAACTCATTTGGCATTGACTCCATGAGTGTGCCATGAGAGATCAGTTGTGCCAGATTGTCAGTGGTGAAAATTGACTCGGAAAACACAAAGTTTGACAGTGTAGCTCACTTCTTTAATTGCATGAACACATACAACGCAGCATTTACAGAATTGCATCATTTCATGAATGTTTTTGTTTGATTCGAGATAACTGCAGAGCTGATAACTACTTGACTGAGTCGTCATCTCGCCTTCTGCGTTTGTTCTACTGTCGTGACCTTCAGTATGTGAGTGAATCCTGGCACTAGCCCAGTTATCCTGTTGCAGCTGACCTTTTTGTCTGAAATGTATTCTGTTATTAACATTCAAAGATTGAAAACTTATGCAAACGGGTGGACACCGTTTAACATTTGTTTCTTCTTGGCCTCAATGAAGGGATACATGCACTTGTCGGAGCCCATGAAACGATACGAAACCACGTTGGATTCCCATGGCAGTAACCTGAAAGACAGACCAAAAAAAAAAAAATGTATCAGCAGGTTTCGGTTGCTGTGAGTGGGACGAGACGCGGTACTGACGCTCTGCACAGGACAGGCAGGTAGGTGAGACGTGGAATGCACACTAGGGGTTGGTCTATGAGGATGGCGTTCATGGCCTGCTCCACGCAGTACTGAGGCTCGAGAGGGGGCAGGACGAGCTCCATTTCCTCTCTGTTGGTCGAAACAGAATTTTATAGGGTGAAATCAGACAGAATAGGAATACAGAACATTGCAGATTTTTTTAACAATTTTTTTTTTCCCCTTCCCCAATTTATTTTTCATCAATGCATTTAAAAATAATTTGGGTATACTGTACCTCTATAGCCTGTATGTAGGTAAATACATTATAGGAATCAAATACACTTGGTGCCTTGCGATGCAAGTTTAATTCCGACAGTCACACTGTCAAAACTCAAACCCTCTTATCTCAAATCATCTTCCCCGTTGGAATGAATGGAAATCAATCTGCTTCAAAAGCAATGTTGTTTTTTTTTTTTTCTGTTTTTGATATAGGAAATCAAAACGGCATAGTCTACATTATTATTTTTTATGCCAGTCCAGACCTGGTCGCAGGGCTGAACAATTCATCAAATTAAAATCAACATTGCAATGTAGTTGCATGCACTTTTCAAATCACAAGGGCTTCAATTTGGCAAATAAAAAAAAACTTTATTTTGGTTGGTTGGTTGGCTTTATTTTTATGTATATTTATTTATGTTTATTTTATTCATTTATTTATTAGTATTAGTAGTATGTTGATAAGTACAGTGCTGAAGTGCTTTAAGTGCAGTCCACGTGTTTCCGTATCGTTTCATGAATAGTTGAAGTGATTTATTTGCATTATTGTTGTTGTGAATTTTTGTGAAATTTTCATTGTGAATGCTTAAACGACTGCAAGTCAGTGTTAAGTTAACGTCGCTCATTGAAGTAGGTAACTCTTTCATATTGATTCATGCTCCATTTGCCTTTACTTTCATGTAAGCCTAACCTACAAGCTCAAAACATTTATGTGTAACGAATTCAACATTGTTTTATTGTAATATAGATCAATTTGTTCATTTATATTCAATCGCAATATGAGGGGGGAAAAATCGCAATTGGATCAGTTTTCAAAATCCTTCAGCCCTACTATAAGTCGAGTCAGTCGGATCTCAAGGCACCACTTGAAGTGATATGGAATTAACATTGACACACCTTATCTTGCAGCCCTCAAACATGCCCGTGTCCACGATGTAAGGGCACACCAGAGTGGTCTTCACGCCCTCCACTTCCTCAGCCAGCAGCTCGTGAGCAAGAGACTCATGGAAACCCACAGCGGCAAACTTACTGGCGCAGTAGTCCTGTCTCAGATGAGTAAACACATCCGTTTGGGACAAATGGGGTTAAAACAACTCAGGTTGTTCATTTGTGATACATCTTGAAACTGTGTTGCGGGTCATTCTCCAGCCTTGATTCACCTCGACACAGCCTGTGCTGAAGAGGCCCAGCACGCTGGCGATAGTCACGATGTGGCCGTGATCTTGGGCCTTCATCTGAGGCAGGAAGGCCTTCACTGTCTGGCAAACACACACACACACACACACACACACACACACACACACACACACAAACGCACGTGGAGTGACGTAGGCATTCAAAGGCACAGGGTGATAGAAAGGTATGTATTAATGTTCCAGTGTGATTGAACTGAATGTCGCTCAACGTGAAGGACGCTTTTGTTGCATGAGCGGCTTCGCATTAAGAGGATTGTCAGCAATGCTGTGAAAAGGGGGATCGTGTTAGTGTGCTTTATTTTTAGCAACAATAACCCTGCTGTGTGCCAGTAGCTGAGGGTGAAAATGCATTTTGCAATTCAAGTTCTTTTTCTGTGTTAACCCCCGCCCCCCAAAAAATAATTAAATACCATCAGTTGCTTGCCTGATATTTTCATGATTGGGTCATACGTGCATGGAAGCAAGAAAAAATTATTTCATTTGATGGCTAACTCTCTGTCAAGTACAAGAGCAATAGTTTTCCGTAGGCCTTCCTTCCTAATTTAGTGTCGGTGGACCAGCCTGGACACAGCATCAATGATATCGGTACTGTTGAACACACATTTATGACTATTTATTTCGATAAACCACCAAGGCTTAAAAGTAAATTACATTTGTGAACTATAGGTGGAGTCCCAAAGCTTTTAAAAGAAAGAGTTACTTTCATCATGGGAGAACAAGAAGCTGTATGAATAGTAAAACAAATATATGTATACCGGCAATATATATTAAATATTGCAGGACCTAAATACAGTACATGCAATAAATGTGCAGCTACTCTCTTGTGGGTCTGGGTCTGTTAATGTCGTCTCTATTGACTCACCGTATTTGGAAAAACAAGCCACAAAAAATAAAAATCATCGGAGTGATGGTTCGTATCTGGTAAAAGTCGAAATTTGGGATCACTTGTATTTCAAGGCACCATTGTCGGTGTTTTCATTGAAGGTGACGTTGATTTTTTTGGACTTAATGTCAAGATTTGTTTTCCATATAGCAAATACGACGTAAAGTTTTATTCTTGACTAAAGCAAAAGATTGCCTCACCCAGAAGAGTGCGAGACAGTTGACCCCAATGGTCTTCTCGATGAGCTCATCTGGACAATCCAGCACTCGTTGGCCAGCCACCACACCGGCGTTGTTCACCAGCATGGTGACATCGCGGCCCAGATCTTTCCTCACCACATCGGCGTAGCGATACACTTCCTCTCTTTTGGTGACATCCAACGTGTAGGCGTGCGCCTTGCCCCCCAAGTCGCGCACCAGCTTGGCCGTGCGCTCGTTGGCCGCGCCGTCCACGTCCCACAGCACCACCTCGGCGCCTCGCTTAGTAAACTCCTGGGCGAAGAGACGACCCAGGCCTCCTCCCGAGCCGGTGATCAGCACCAGCTCGCCATCGATGGGCTTGATGCGCGGCCGCAGCACGGCCCTCACGGTGTTGCGTAGGATGAAGTAAATCATATCCAGCAGCATCATCTGCAGGTCCATGAGGAATATCATGGTTACTCGGCTTGACCCTCGCTGACGTTCACAAACGGCTGCGTGAGAACCTGCAGACGGCCAAGCTGCTGTTTGAAGCCGTCTGTGGCCCTCGGCCTCCATCCCGCTGGCTTTAAACACCCTCCTCCCGGATTAGAAGAAATACTTTGAGCTCCTCAATGCCGCTGCTCTAAAATGTATGCATTTGCACCAGCGCCGAGGAAAATCACTCAGAAGGGCATTCAATGTAGGTCTTTGTAAGGAGAGGTCACAGCTTTAAACATGTGCACGTGCGACACAAACAGTACTTAACAATAACCAGACAGTTTATTCAGTAGCCCACATACCAGTCAGAACAGAAAATCCGCCTTTAGACAGAACACAACGAAGCAGCAGATAATTACAGAATTTCTGCAACTCGGGGCCAGGGCAGGGGGAATTTATTCCAAATTTAATGTGACACACTGAATCCTCTCCTACTTGTGGCTTGCTATTCTCAAATTCAACTTTTCATATTTTGTTTTTGTGACACCTAACGAGAAAAAAAAAATGCCGCGTTGTAACCCATATTTTGAAGTGATACATCCTTACTGGAGGACTAAGCTCTTTGTATGTCGGGAGGGAGGTAACTTTTGCCAGGGTAGATAACGGAGAGTTTTTCCCGCTTGTTTGTTTTTGCTGTGCTGAGTGGCTATTAAAGAGCGCAAGCGTGTATACGCCGTGCATTTTAAGGGTCGAGTTGTAACGTCAGTTTGAAATGGTTTTATTCAGGTGTTTTGCGATCACAGTTTGTCATAGTCTGTTCGCATTTAACCCTTTCATGCACCCTGTAACCTGTTAACATGGTAAGCTGTCCACCATTGTAACCGCTGTCCCTGAGCGGGTTAAACGTTCAATATAGTCAATGATAAATTGCAAAGATGGGACACTAACTCTTTTTTTCTTTTTATGGGAGCATAGCAGTCCAGATTAATGATTTGTATTTGGTTCCTTCACATCATCCAAAATATCACGAGCCACCGATTGAGCGCTAAAACCAAAAATGCTCCACATGAGAATGTTAAGTTTAACTCCAACCTCATATTATATCGTTTTGTTTTGGGGGGTTTTTGCAATGAATTATAACATTCGAGTTTGGTGTGTGAAACTGCCACGTTTTATTGGCAGTTTGAGAGCATAAGCAGATTATGTTATTCAAGCGTAAACCTTTGTGGTATTACATCTCAAGAAGGATTTTTCTTTTTTCTCCCAACACTGGCGCCCTTGTTTTATCTGCAGCGTTTGGCATGTGAGCCATGCACATATGCATTCGTACCAATGAGTATTTATTTAGTCGTCATAAAGATCGTCACACTATTTACCAAATGGTGTACTGTAGGTTTTTTTTTTTTTCCTTTTGATATAAATGGAGGCTGTCTCCCAGAAAATGTACTCTCAGGATTTTGTCTTCGATTAGCCAACAGGTTAAATTTCCGAAAATGACATTGGATTGAAGATAATTTATGGAATAAAATAAAATGGTCCAAGCAAAAAATATACACAGATGGGCAGTCAGAGTGAGTAACTTTTTGGGGTGACATCCTGTATAATAACTAATGTATATATTTTGAATATTTTTGTCATTGAAAACTATCAACATGCGTTTATAATCATGTTGATCCAACATCTAGCCTGTTACATTCAACAATCAAGCCTCACTTATTCAAATTGGAATATGAAATGCCAGAATTTGAATGTATTGAATAACTAGCTGACGTATTATTTTTAATTTGAACTACAAAGTATAAATGGAAAATGTTTTAATGACCGCACTCTCTTTTACAAAAACATAATAGGAGTGCAAGCATAGCATATGAATAGTCCTGAGAGATTTCTTCTCGTCTCTTATGTGCCCTTCATACTCATTTCAGTTTGGCCTTCACTGTCCACACTGTTGGTATTTTTCTATGTACAAATTCAAACTACAGGCGTTTCATTAATCTGCCCTTTTCGCACACTTCAGGCTCACACATGGCGAGCAGATCCGTCGAGAGGCCACCGACAATTCCCATCAGTTTCAAGCAAACGCACAGAGGCTTTAAGATATGCTGTTGCCATGGAGACTGTGACCCCGTGAACCACTGGGCACTCCGATGGCAGCTTGTTGCCTTAACTTACATTTTTTTTTTTTTTTAATTGAATATCATTGTTTTATATCTTTCTGCCATGTCTTCTAATTTCTGTGCTAAGCAGGCTGTATGCTTTTTGTATAATGCATACACCGGACAGAATCCTCACGTCTCAAGAAAAAAAAATAGCTTTTTCAAGAAACAAACAAAATACAAAAGAAAAAGGGCATGCTTCTTGAGTGATTAATCCTGCATCATCAAAGAAAGCAAATCGCTTTCAACACTTTTGATCAGTCAACGATTTGTTGAATAATAATGTGAACTCCACCATTTGGCTTCTGTTATATTAGCAAATAAAGCTCACCCAATTCCTACACGGGAGAAAGGCAAAGATAAGAAAAACATTTCGGCATGAAAAACAACATAGGCTACTACGCCAATGGCCATAGTTCATGTAGTCCGGTGCAATATCAAATTGACCTTTTCTTCTTTTGTCATTATTGCTAGAGAAGATTGTCCCGTAATGACGTGGTTATTTCAATGTCCATTGTGAGGCCCGGTATTGCAGGATATGTTCATAATTAATCTTATCATCATGGATTCCCTGTAGACAGTCCCAGCTCTTATTACCACCGGTGGCTATGGCAACACCAGGAAGAAGCGACACATCCCCGATGGCAACAACACGATTGGGTAACACATCCAGACGGTGCATGCAAATCGATGACCTTTTCCAACCTTTAAAATCTTCCCGCAGAAGCCTGGCTCAGAACGCTTTTGTGTGTGAATTGTTTGAGGTATTGTGTGCAGTTTGAACAAAGTTCCATGACCAAGGGATGTCAGGCCGGCGCAGACGCTGGATGCGGCACCCGAGGGAGGGTCACCGGGTGTGCTTCGACCGGGAATAGGGACGTGCCGAAAGGAGAAGAAGAAGATTGCGTGCAGTTTGAACAAAGTTCCATGACCAAGGGATATCAGGCCGGCGCAGTCGCTGGATGCGGCACCCAAGGGAGGGTCACCGGGCGTGCTTCGACCGGCGGCCGCCTGCTCTCGTCGCCAGACACGAGCACTGTGCTGGAGATGGAGGGGAGGAGCAGTGAGGACAACGGGTAAGTCAGTAAAGTGGTCCAAATGAGTATTTCAGTGCCGTGAAAAAATATTTGCCCACTTTCGGATTTCTGTGTTCTTTGTGTATTTATGACACACAAAGGTTTCGGTTCATCAAACCAATTTTAATATCACATAGAGAACACCCGAGGAAATGCAAAATACAGTTTTCAAAAGTCAATTGAATTTATTTAGACGCAAAAAAAAAGAAATCCGACGCCCCCTGAACCTACGAATGGGTTGTGCCACCTTTGGCAGCAATAACTGAAATCAAGCGCTTCCGATAATTGGTGGTAAGTCATTCACATCGCTGTCGAGCAATTTTGGCCCACTCTTCTTCGCAGAAACTCTTCAACTCTTTCATATTGGAGGGTTTTCGAGCATGAACTGCCCGTTTAAGATCATTGGATTCAAATCCGGACTTTAACTTGGCCACTCCAAAACCATAATTTTTTTTTTTTTTAGTTTTTCTTTTAGCCATTCAGAGGTGGACTTGCTGGTGTGATTCGGATCGTTATCCTGCTGCATGATACAAGAGCGCTTGCTTTAGAGGGCGCAAACTGATTGTCGGACGTTCTCCTTCAGGAATTTCTGACAGACAGAAGAATTCATTGTCCCATCAATCACAGCTAGTTGTCCTGGTCCTGAGTTAGCAAAGCACCCACAGACCATCACACTGCCACTGCCATTCTTCACTGGTGGCATAATGTTCTTTTTATCAAATGCTGTGCCATTTTTACCCCTGATGTAATTGGCCGCACATCTTCCAAAAATGTAAGTTTTTGACTCATTAGTCCACAGAATATTTTTACCAAAAGTCGTGAAGATCATCAAGATGTCTTTTGGCAAATGGGAGACGAGCCTTTTGTGGTCTTTTTGGACAGCAGTGGTTTTTGCCTGGGAAATCTCCCATGGATGCTGTTTTTGGCCCGTGTCTTTCTTCTGGTAGAGTCATTGAACGCTGACCTGAACTGGAATTAACTGGAGGCTGGAATTCTTTTGCAACCTCCTGGATGAGCCATCGCTGCAATGTTATGAGAAAAAAAATGTATTGGCACGGTAATTAAATGTGAATACTTTTGAGAATATAATCTGAGGGTAAAATCATCGGCGAACGTAAAAATTCCCACACAGGCAACAGTCTCTCTCGAGGGAGCAGCATTTGATAAATTTTTGTATTATCATTCAGTATTTGACTCCTGGTATTTTCTGCTATATTAGGTATTAACTTCTAGCCAAGAATTCAGACGATTTCCGTTCGTGAAGTTCTTTCTCTGAGACAAATCAAGCTTTGACATGAAACTGCTCGTGGCTCTCAACAAGGCATGTCTACCACTAGATGGCCACATTGGTTAGTACACTGGATGCCAAGATGAAGCGCCTCACGCCTCTGTCCCCATGCAGGAGGAAAGCTTCTCTGGTGGCAGGCTGTGGGAAACCCCCAATGGAAGGCAGTGTGGGGAGGATGAAGGCCTGTTCTTAGTCCACCTTACCTCAGCTGCCTGTTCGTATGACCTTCTCCTGCTCCTCCTCCTCCTCCTCGGTCGATCCACATGAATCCGCAAGTATAAATTTTTTATTTGGTTTGCGTTATTGTGTTATTGATTGGCATTCTATATATAAATTGTTCCAAAAATCACTATGCACTTTCTTTTTTTTATATTTCCTTACCATCATTCGGACTGATGTGAGGTCATCAGCATTTGAAAGCTGGTGTGACTTTTAGGACACTTTTTATAACAAACAAAAGAATAATTAAAGTCATCCATTCTTAATCAAAATGTAAAGTGATTTGCTTTATTTCATTTGGAGTCATCCAAGGGGGGGAAACGTCACTTTTCTTAAGGAATAGAAACATCTCAGGACATAGAGACACTGTTTTTTGTTTTTGTTTTTTTCCTTACAAGACAATGACATGGATGGCTCCATGTGAGTCACAAGCAGCCGCAACGCCAAAAAGTTACAACATGCACCAAACGATAGAACATTTATACAGAAACGACAGCATAGAAAGTCAACAGGTAGAAATGTTTTTGTTTGTTTGTGCGTTTTGTACAAAACGGACCAAGCTGGGGACCCCATAAACAACATTGTAGAAGAGCTTTCCCTATAATCTTTTTGTCTATTTCCCTGGTGTACTTTACAAAGACCGATGGCTTAGGCAAGGTTGGGGTCAATTCCACTGAGAGCTTCAAATATAAAAAAATATAGAGAGATTTTTTTTTTTTTTTTTGTAATTTGTTCTAGTTGGTCATTGGCCTCATACTCCTATACTGCTTTTCTTTTATTGTCTTCCCCTCTATAAACATGCCCTGAATGGACCCCAACCCTGTGATACAGCGATAGAGGGGCTGTAGAATGCAATGGCAATACAGCAAACACCTGCATCCCTTTAAGTCTTGCAGCTAAGTCAGAATCTTAAAAAAAAAAAAAAAAAAAAGTACATTTTCGAGATACCGGGAGAATCTGTGCTCTTCATTTTTGCTGTAAAATGTCCAAAAAAAAAAAAAAAGTCACTTGGTTGTGTTATCTGATTTGGAGTTCACCCAAGGGGCGACATTTTGAGGCTACAAATGGTGTGCTCAGTTACCAGCATACTTTCTCTTTTTCCTTTATCCATTTTATTTGTATGGCCTAAAAAGTGTTTCGCATACAAAATACATTATGACTTTCCTAATGCTTCCGTCGTTCGGCGAGGACCACCCAGGTAAGCTGTTATAGTATGGCCGAATACAGAAAAATATCTCTAAAAGTGTCAGAATTTAAAAAAAAAAAAAAAAAAAAATTAAAAAATCATATCACAGTATCACAGTCTAGGTATCTATTTTTTTTTCCACCCATCAATACTGTTGTCACGAATGACCAGGATAAAAACTTTAAGATTGTGTCCCAAAATGCACTGTTGAAAACCTAATAAATAAAATTCAAACAAACAAACAAATAAACAAATAGAATAACTACAATGAATAAATTAAAACAAATAGACTACATCTTTTAAGGGGTCCTTGAAATGTGCTCCAGCGAATGCATCATTTGGAACAAAAATCTGCCCAAACCCAAATACAGGGTTTCTCGAACACAAATCTGCCTCATGTATGCAGTCTGTTGCACTCCTGTTATCAAAAAATACAGACAGTAAATAGTGCTCAACGTTTTGTTTGGTTACCCTCCTAAAATCGTGTCAGCAAACATTGCCCGTCAATATTGTGTGTTGTGTTTCAAACCTCGACTGTGGTGTTTCCTGTCAAGTCATGAAATATTGATTGTCATCATAGTTGAAATATTTCAGCCAAAATGCTCCCCCACAGCCTTTTTTTTTTAAATTTGAAAGCCCAAATGACTGGACAGTTAATGCGTGATGACAGCTGTTTACTGACCTTAAATTAAGGAATATATATTTATTTTCCTTCCCTGTTTTATTGTTTGATATTGATGATGACGTCGCTCCGAACTGGCAATCAGCGGGTTATTAGTGACCTCATAATGTGTGACATATGTACGTCAAGGGGATTTATTTGGCAGAGTTCGACGACGGCGATGAAATGTTCGGCATACACTGGCCTTCCGTTTTCCCAATTGTGTTTCTCAAGCAAAATGCAATTAAAGGTCCATTCAGCACCGTTGAGCTGAATGTTGAGAGGACAGCGCCACTGGAAGTCAATTGGAAATGTTTCTTGTCCTATATTTTTTCCTCACTTTTGTACAATTACCACTTCATCAAAAGTTGTTGGAATAATTCATAAGGCAAAAAGAAAGGCCGGTCTTCATAAAATAACTACACTTAAATAAGTGGGTAGAAGTCTTATTTCAAATCACTGTACATTATTTCAGATATTCCCTATGCAAGATATGGTAATTTTATTTTAGTTTTTTAAGATTATTTTTTAGTTTGTTTGTTTTTTGACCAGTGAGACGTACGTATGTTATTTTTGTTGTTTTTGTTTTGAATGGGATCAATCGAAAAGTTGCAAGAAAGTGGCAAAAGACTGACATATTTTTAGCTATTAATTGTTGATTGATTGATTGACAAAAATTCCAAGTCTAAAATGATTCACACACTTGATCAATACATGTCTAACCAATGTCGTAAATATCTCGCATATTGGAATGATTTAGCTCAAGGGGTCCGTTTGACGCGTGTGTCTGGAAAGACAAAATTGCTTAAATGATCTTTTGCGTTCTATGAATTATTTTGGATAGTCATCTATGTAAAGACACTGATCGTGTGAATAATTTCTCACAATAATTGTTATAAAGGATTTGACAAAGTAGGAAAAACACGAAACATTACAGACACAGACATGAACCAATTAATAACACCGCCTTATTTTCTTCACTTTGTTGTTCATTTTAATGAACTGGCCTAATAATTGTATGTGAATATATATATA